ATCACACATTGCATTGAGTGTCAACCATGACATTTTATCTGGTGCAGAAAAATTAGTACCGTTAATGTTATTATTATCATGCTTTTTAAATCAAGGATTGAACTTTTGTAGAAGATTCTAATGAATTGATTCTATTGATTTAAACATGTCATGTCTATTTGTATATCAATAATTCACGAGATTGTAGTTTTGAACATGGATGTCATTTCGAATCAGTAGCATTTGATTAGAAAATTTCACTTTGTTATAACTAAAAAAGACGCAAATGAACCATAATAAATCAGTTCAATCACACATTATCCCCATCAAACAACCATTTTCCCCCTTCAAAATCGACATTCCTTGTCATTGAGTTCTGAAACCCATGTATTTTGGATTTTTTATTATTCGTGGGATACCAATTTTCGTGGATTTCGGGGGTAAAACTGAACCACAAATTTAAATGCTTAACGAAGTACACATTTTCTATAGGCTTGAATGTAGACTTTAGGCAAACGTTTTATCCATGAAAACACAATTTTTCCTCAATCCACGAAAATTGGTACCCACGAAAATAGATAAAACCGCAATATTTGATTAATCCGTCGAGCAATTACATAAACGAATAATAGAACATCCTGCTTCGTACCGCATTATTAAACAGACTCTTCTAGTAAAACTAAGGTGAAAAATTGTATTATTGTCTGACAACTCTAATACTCGTGCGTTAGATAAATCCCTCAAATATCATCCACTTTAAAATAAAACGATTTTTGTATTATTATCTGTCGACATCTAAGTATTTTATTCATGCGACGCACGTAATGACAGGGGTATAGAATTATGTTCACCTGGACTCTCAATAAACCTAACAATAAAACAGTTTTATGATTGTTGTATGCTACAAATACACATGCCCTCAATGCTAGTAAACCTAACAATAAAACAGTTTTATGAGTGTTGTATGCTACAAATACACATGCCCTCAATGCTAGTAAACCTAACAATAAAACAGTTTTATGAGTGTTGTATGCTACAAATACACATGCCTTCAATGTTAGTAAACCTAACAATAAAACAGTTTTATATGATTGTTGTATGCTACAAATATACATGCCCTCAATGCTAGTAAACCTAACAATAAAACAGTTTTATGATTGTTGTATGCTACAAATACACATGTCCTCAATGCTAGTAAACCTAACAATAAAACAGTTTTATGATTGTTGTATGCTACAAATACACATGCCCTCAATGTTAGTAAACCTAACAATAAAACAGTTTTATGAGTGTTGTATGCTACAAATACACATGCCCTCAATGCTAGTAAACCTAGCTAACAATAAATCAGTTTTATGAATTGTTGTATGCTACAAATACATATGCCTTCAATGTTAGTAAACCTAACAACAAAACAGTTTTATATGATTGTTGTATGCTACAAATACACATGCCCTCAATGCTAGTAAACCTAACAATAAAATCAGTTTTATGAATTGTTGTATGCCAACCTTATGTCTATCAGATCCCTTTTAGACTCTCTTGTTACTATTCGGGGTCTTCAGATCTGCCAGATCTGGGTCGACCTCTTGCGTTTTGGGAGATATTGACTCTGACCTCAACAATTCTGTCATGACGATTTCTGTTTACACAACACAGTCAGGTATGGAGCTCGATTGCAGGTTTTGTTGAGGGTTGCCGTTCTCTGCTAAATTGTCTCTGTTGGTGTCCTGATTTAAAGTTATGTGAGCCTCATTATCATGAGTTGTGTGTAGGGTCAATGTATTAACTGGTGTTATAGGTACCTGCCTTCTTGAGTGACTATCTAGTGTCAGCTCTTTTGTAGATCGTTGTCCGGGTTGATCTGCTGGTATCCCTATATGCTTAGTATGGTCTTACATTTACAGGCGGAAACATCTTATGTTGCATTGAACGTTGATTTACTATGTTCTTTGTGTACTGTGGTATGTGGTTGTATATTAGTGGGAACAAACTTATAAAAGATACCAGGCTTATAATTTTGGACGCCAGACGCGCGTTTCGTCTACCAAAGATTCATCAGTGACGCTAAAGTTAAATGGCCAAATGAACTACGTATATATACTAGTACTTAGTTGTAGTGCAGCTAAGGGAATCTATTCCTGAGGTGGAAGTGGGCGCATATGCTGATGACATCAACGGGGTTGCAATGCGTATGACCAATTGTCTTTTGGTAATACTCTGATTTTCCTGGTTGATACATATATATACATATATATATAATTACTCTAAATATCAGCACAACAATGTTAAATCTGCAAATTTGCGGAAGCAAATTTTTGTTCTTCCCTCGCCGGGATTAGAACTCATGCTATCGAGACAACACCGCCTATATACTGATGTTGAGTAAGAACTATATTCTTCAGCGAAAATTCTAGAGTGGATATTCTTCATTGAATATAGTTTATCTCTAGTTCATAGATCTTTTTATACAATTGGCGAATTCCTTCCACATGCCTTAGATTCACGTCTTTTAAACTACTAGTATTCATTTCATATCAGTTTGCTTATAAAAGAAGTGAGAACTTACATTTGTTGACTATAAACCTTAAAATAATAAATATGTGAAACACAAAAAACACAAAACTTCTTATATTGAGACTGATGAAGCCGAACTCTGATATATGCTTTCGTGTATATTACACGACCGAAACACCAGACTTAATGTAAGGGCTCATTGCTGAACGTTGATGCTTTTATTGACACACAGGGAGCAATCGTTGATACTTTTCTTATTTTCTGATATCAAAAAATCATTTTTTGATATCAGGAATTCGAATTTTTGATATCAAAAAATCATTTTTTGATATCAGAAAATGTATTTCTTGATATCAAAATATCGTCAGTAATATTTGATATCAAAAAATCTATTTTTTGATATCAGAAAATGGATTTCTTGATATCAAAAAATGATTTTTTGATATCAAAAAATCGAATTTCTGATATCAAGAAATAAAGATTATTTTCTGATATCAAGAAATCGAATTCTTGATATCAAAAAAGGCAATTTTTGATATAAAAAAATTGAATTCCTGATATCAAGAAATATTTTTTGATATCAAGAAATATTTCCTGATATCAAAAAATCATTTTTTGATATCAGGAAATACATTTTTTGATATCAAGAAATATTTTTTGATATCAGAAAATAAGGAATAAATAGTAAAACGGCGCCTCATAGTTTGGTGCATGATGGACAGAGTTAAGCGGAGTTGGATGAACACCTAACTAAAAGCAGCAAGTTGGTTGGGAGTATGATGTACCTGATAATGTTGATGTTTCTGCTGGCAGGTAACAACTTCTTGGTATCTCAGCATCTATTGTATGTTTTCTTGTACAGTGTACTTATATAGTTGGTACGATAGTGGTTGCCGTTCGAACAATTCATGTCTGTTTAATTGTTGTAAACATAGTTATCGTATGGTTTATTTTCTTTAAACAGTATGCCCTCTATTTTTATTTCCGGGAGAAGCGGATGCAATGGTTACCTGTATTGCAGAGTATGCATTTAGATAAGTAAGGTTGTTTTTTTTACATTTTTGGTCATTGGTCGTCACCTCTTTGTAGTTTGAAGAGTTTGCCATTTTTTTTTGTTGCAATACACTTTCTCAGTGTTATTGAGGTGGCATGATTTTTCTGTAGTAGATATTCTTGACATTTACTTTATGATCTCATTCAGATGTCGTAGATTTTGGTTTGGTTTAATGTGCTCTCTTATGAGTTATCAGATGAATTAGTTTGCATGGCGTCCGTTTATTTCAAGCCTGATGTTGTATGATAACTATTTCTCCTATATAGTTATTCTGATGATTCAGAAGCCAAAGATTGAGTGCTCTACTATTTTTTCACCACTTTTGTCGACGTTGTTTATGTGTATCAGATTAAGGTTTGGACTTGTACCCAGATAGTTGTCAAGACGAGGAAAGTCCCTGATGTTATTTCTATAGCGATGTTGCCATGCTTGAATTCTAATTTGTAATCCTGAGAGCTATCAGTTTCTTCAATCAACTTCTCTGCAGCTTTAGTTTGATTTAGCTTGTAGGTTTTTACTTTCTGCTAGCTTTTTGACAAGTGTAAATATTTGTGATAAGATGTGATTTCTTGACCTAGTTGTTGAGGACATTTTGACAGTGATGTTGGAATATGAGCAACAAGTTGGTGATGTAATAAATGAAAATTGTGACTTATGGTCATGCATGAAGGTTTTCACACTGGCTGAATTTTAGAGACCAGTTCAGAAGACAGATTTTGCGTACCAAGTCAATCGTGGAGGCTCCTACACTGATCCTATGGATCAAACCCAGTTAAATATTGTGTTAGATTGTGTTGCCTTTTCATCTGTAGACCTATGAACTTTTACCCTGGACTTGGTGAGAAATATAATATATGAATTTGTATCTAAGTGTCAAGCTTGAAAGTTCTCACACTGACTGGATTATAACATAATGCACATGCTGAAATGTCTCGCCTGCTATACTGACATTGATTTTATGTTGATAGTCCTAAATATAAAGTTTTACTACAAGTATCACATTAACATTTATGATCCAAGAAAATGAGGTCAAGGTCAAATAAACAAAGCCAGAAATATATGTACACATATATATTGTATAATACAATCATTCCATACACCGATTATAGATGACCTCTTGCTTATAGTATAAAAGAAACAGACCAAACCATGGAAATTTTATATTGTTGTCAAGGTCAAGCGTGGAGATTCGTGCTGATATGATGAGTCAAGCCCTTTCCAACTGATATTTAGAGTTTGTTCTAATGTTGTGCTGGTACGCATCTGTTCAAGTTCACAAACATGTTTAACCTGTCCTTTGGTCTCTAGTAGATATATGACTCATTGGTAATCATACCAAATTGCCTTACTTTCAGACAGACTTTCAGGTAGGGTGAGCTAAAATATACATAGATTTACATGTCTCTTCATGATTCCAAATAGTTTTTGTTTGTAAATAAATCAAAACAAGTTTCATTTCATATATATTTTAATATATAACCATTAAGATAACTTTTATATGAACAATTTGACTAGACTACAATTATAAAATTACAATTAATTACATTGTCATAATCTCAATCAAGTCAGTAATCAAAACAAATTGTTTTACAACAGATTTTCTTTTACATCATTAACAGATTTTAACAAAATCTAGTCAATTTAATGCAGGCAGAGAAAGTATATATATTACTTTATATACATCTTAGGTTCTCTTGAACTAAAAAGTGTCAATTAGGAGTCTATCAGATTAGGTTTTTTTTACCTAAAAAATTATTTTCTTTAATTGAGTTTTAAAGATGTTTCCACCAGGGACAAAATCATTGGCAATACAAGAATTTTCTTACATTGTTTGCTACTAACAAATACCTGCAGCATTTGCTTAACTGAATGTACCTAAAGATAAACATGATATAAGTAAAATAAAGGATGTGGGTTAAAGACAATTATACAACTCTCAAATTGTAAGTCTGGTCTTTCACAAGTGTTTTTTTCTTGTATGCTTTTGTTGAATATAAAGTTAACACCTAATAGTATTGCTAATATCAGGATTTTGCTGTATAGAATTTTCATATTGAATTTCCAAGATGATAAAACAAAATGTATGATAGTACACAATATAAACTGCAAAAATGTAAATTTCTTCAGTTCTTTTTAACAATAATCTTTAAATCACTTTTATTATTTTGTTTAAAGTAATTTAAAGTTTGTAAATAACAATAATAACATTTTCCTTCTACTTGAGAAGTTTATACAACAGTATATCATGAAAATCAATATATTGCACATATTAAAATGAATATCTACCAACATCTTTTGTAGTCAAAGCTTGTGTAGATTGATTACCAGAAACTGAACATCCTATTTTACTCATCACTTAGCATTTTGTGTATTGCATAATTGTTATTATAGATGATTCTCTTTAAATAAGAGAAATGTCCTAAAAAGCAAAAATGTGCTGATGTAACATGAGTTCTCACCAATGAAAAGATACGTTGGGCATATGTCCCTATTTATAAATGACTAGTTTTGTACATCAATATCAAATGATTTTGAACATTTTTTTGAAGATGTGTTAATTGGTGCGGCTCACTTCTATACAGCACATCTTTATTTTGTAACATTTAAGTTTATTTCTGTTTGGTTCATACACATTTCATGAGACTGATGTTACTTGCTTTTATATCGTATAAAAAAAGCCAAGCACAGCAAATTTTTAAATATGTTCAATTTCTCGTATTATCAATTGCATTACATATACGATTGTATTTGTTGTAAATAAGTTCAAATAAAAATTACAAGACTTTTAAATGGTAGCTTAATGTAACCTTAATATAACTTTAGGAAAGGAATGTAGATTTAAGTTTTTTAAAAAATAAAATATTTTTCCGAGTGTTTTCTCCTGGACTACATGCTATATTCCTACTCAATTGAGTTCATTTTAATATAATTCATCAAAATCTGCAATCAATGCCAAAATTTATAATATGCTTTATAAACATTGGTTTGAGAAAAATATTTTTTGAAGTTTATTAGTATATGTTTATAAAAGGGAGATAACTCTGATTGATTTTTCATCCCAAACAATAGTCAATAGTTTCATTACAGTTGATTTGAGAATGGTGTTGATGGGACTGTGTAATATTTGACATTTAAATGGGTCTGTTTTAGTAAAAAATCTAAATATATTGGTCCGTTTCAGTAAACATCTACAACATACAAAGTCTATCATTATAAAAATGTTGGCAAGTAAATGACAATTTAATGAGTATTTATTAAGCACCTTATTCAATTGCAAAAATTTCAGTGAATGAGGTATTATGCAAATAGCTTGTTCAATTAATAATATTCAGATCAACATATGAAAGTTATGACTCTCAACATTTTTCAAGTTTAGAGTCAGTTTCTGCCTCTTTGACAGAAATTAAAATTCTACAAAAAATAGTATTTTGCTTTACTCCTTGCAATCAATATTCGAATATTTTGGTAAAGCTTATTATTGTGGATAAAATACATTCTTCTTAGATCTGTGACCCTTTTCACAAAAAAAATCTTACTAGAAAAAAAGACTAGTGGGTTATGAACATTTCAAAATAACTAACGATTAATTTTTATCATAATAGTTTTGGTGAAAACAGCTGCTGTTTGGTAGGAGTAAAATTACTTAGATGATTTTAAAATGAGGTAAAATTTGGCGAACACTGAGATGGTAGTTTTTAATGGGGTGTTGGTAATCTAAATAAATTGGTGAGTAAAGCTATAAACATTACCAATGAATATGTACTTTTCAATACAAGCAGCTACAATTCAAACTGATCCAATATAAGTTAGTGGTCATGTCAGGTAGGGGTTTCAAGCAATACATGAATCAGAGCTTACGGTCATAAAACTTTCGAGTACAATTATCATACACAGAAATCAACCAATCAAAATGCCAGATTAGGCGTTTCGAGCAGAAGTTTTGTACTCAGAGAGTACTGAGTAAAGTTTTATGACCAAAAGGCTTTTGTATTCATTGTATTGATGCAGATTAAAGATTCAAAACAAATGTATGTTATTTAAAACATAACTTCATGTAACTTTGATAAATAAATAATCCAGTAAATCAATCTGTTAACAGATGAATGAATTCCTTGAACTTTTGGATTCTGTGTTGGAAAACTATCCATGTACCAATAGTATCTGGCCATTGTTTACAATGTCTGTAGAGCTACTTCTGAACCTGAATACCTTGAAATCCATGGGTTGTAAGTTGTGTATCATCAAAAGCCCTTCTCCCATCTTCACCTACAAATAAACATAGAAATGAACATAATGGTTTACTTTTATAAATTTTGACTTGGATGGAGAGTTGTCTCATTGGCACTCATAACACATCTTCTTATATCTATTAATACATAGAAATTTTTTATGCAGAGGTTAAAAAATATCAGGCTTCAGGGATTGTATCCCTTACCTGACATCTATGCAGATCAGACACAATCTGAGTTCCAGTTATATTTAATTATGTTCTCCAGAAGCAGGCTAAGAAAATCAATTATTTCAAGATTGGTTTTATTGGCCTAGTTAATTTGAAATAAGAAAATCTTTCAGTAGTAAACTATATAAAAACTTTGTTGCAGTTGAAAGATCATGAAATGGATTATTTAACCAAAATTTGGCATCAATGCACCATTTCCAAAAAAAAAAACGTTAATTGATGCCCAATTTACTGTTTTAAGTAACAGTATTAAAGCTGCCACGTTTTAAGGCCAAATCTACCATTGTCATTTTTGTTGTTGAATGTTTGCATTAACTTTCTACTTTTAGTATCTATGGTATAATACAAATTCTATTTTAGCATTTAACATTTATTATTTGGACAAAATCTGGAAACAATTTGCCAATAGAATAAGTCAGCAATTTTGTTTTATGAACTTGTTGATTCATTTTTCAATTTTTATTGGTGGTGTTAGGGCATGTTGGGGATTAATTAAATTCTGAAATGGCTTCATAAATGGATAATTAAGGTAAAGTTTAGCATAAATTGGCATTGTAAAGATTTTCATAGCATTCTTTTTTTTATTGATTTTTGGTCAATTATTCTACTTTGAATAAAAAAGTTACTGCCATAGTGGTTATGCACAGACAAAATTAAAGAACCTTTGTGAGCACAATCACATACTCCAGGCCCCCACATTGTCTCTGGGCAAACATTAAAGAACCTTTGAGAGCACACTCACATACCCCAGGCCCCCACATTGTCTCTGGGCATACATTAAAGAACCTTTGAGAGCACACTCACATACCCCAGGCCCCCACATTGTCTGTGGGCAAACATTAAAGAACCTTTATGAGCACACTCACATACCCCAGGCCCACACATTGTCTCTGGGCAAACATTAAAGAACCTTTGAGAGCACACTCACATACCCCAGGCCCCCACATTGTCTCTGGGCAAACATTAAAGAACCTTTGAGAGCACACTCACATACCCCAGGCCCCCACATTGTCACTGGGCAAACAAAATATTGCCAGATTCATAAGTTTAAAGGCTCATAACTCCTACTAAAGTCAATTGATAAAAATTTCTTGTGGATATGCACATCTACATAGTATGTCCTTATTATCTACAAAGTTTCATTAAATTATATTGCATGTTTATTGAGGATGGGATGACAAACTGTTGCAGTAGTATATTTAGGGCAAAATTCAGAGTTCAAAGGAGTATAACTCCTAGAAAAAATTTGAATCCTAATTTCCTGTCGATATGTACATCTATATATTACGTCCTTATTATCTACAGTTTCATGAAATTCTGTTGTGTGGTTTCAGGAGATGCGATGAAAAGTACAGGACTGACGGACAGACAGGTCAAAAACATTTTACCCTATGCAACTTTGTTGCGTGGAAGTTGCGTGGGGTGTAAAAACTAAAAGAGCATAATAATTTTTTCTGAATCTACCATTGGTTGACCAATCAGTTCACAGAAATACTATACCTAATGACGTAAGGGCTGCCTTAGCTTGGTCCTGGACTGTAGTTGACCTATCTGTCTGACAAATATAGGCCAATCTGTCGATACTCTCTGTAGCCTAAAATAAAAAAAGAAGATATTTATAAATGTGAACATTATCATTATTAAATGAGACTTACTCAGTATATCATTGTATATTGTATGTGTGGTGTAGTTGTTATTTAAAATGATACCATACATGATAAAAAGAGGTTTTGCTTGCTTAAGAAAGGACCAGGATGTAAGGTGTAATCAACAAAGTAGTTACTAAAAAGTAAAATAACAGAACTACTAGACTCCAAGGAACATTCAAAACAGAAAGTCCCTTATCAAATGGCAAAATCAAAAGCTCAAAAACATCAAATAAATATCAATGTTCTTACCTCCAATATCTGTAGAGCTTTACAAGCACCTGCTCTGATCTCAGAAGTCTTGTCTTCTAAACCTTCAGCAAATACAACTAAAGCCTGTAAAATAATATTATATATAATAAAATATATTGTTATGAGAGATTGAGGTTTCCATATTTAATGATTGCTTTAAAATTTTTAAAAATGGTTTAACTTGTTGTGTGGTAGTTACTTTTTGTTGTTGCAATGGTAATGTTTATTTTAACACATTATAATCTTTAGATTTTATATGCATAAAAATTCAAAGGCAATAATAAAGCTGCTGTGAATATGATATAATTTTGAAAATATCAATTCTCGGTTTTTGAATTTTTAAAGCAAGTACCTTTATTCATTGCTGAGAAATCTGTGGCAAAAGTGGAAGAAGATTGATTGATTTTGCTTGTTTAATTTCCAGTGGAAAATGTTTCATGCTTATTCAGGATAATGTGGAAGGAGAAAAAACACAGAAATGTCATATTATGCCAATAAAGTTGAACTCATAATGCATCAAAAATGTTTCACAGCATACAATTAGTTTTGAAAAGCAATTTGATTTTTAAGGACTTTTACAAAAAAAAATTTAAGTCCCATCTAACCAGTTAACCCTTGTCACACACCAACCAGAACACCTACTTTTATGCTTGCCAATCCTACACAGTAGTCTGAACATTTTTCATCAATACAGAGTTTATTGCTGTTATGTAGTTATATATACGTATGAATTACAGAGGGACATTTGAGTTACCTTCTACATGGGCTACATTTGATGAAGGGCTCATGAAAAATATCATCAAATATTGGTCTTGTCTACAAATTTCTTAATTCTGCCTCCAGATACATGTATGAAGATGAGGCTTCAATTTTAATTAAGTATCTGTTTTTTCATTGGTTAACCGTACACAACTTTGTCCCTTAACATCTTACTTCAAGCCAGCAATCTCATTATATATAGTGATACATCTAGCTTATTCGTAGAGTTTTTCTATGCTATGTGGGTTGAACATGACATACATTTCAGATGTTATTTATCAATGTCAGGTCAAGCATTATATTGATTGTTATTTGTTTGTTTATGTTTGATGCTTCTTTCAGCAATCTGGCTATACATTATGGGGGCAAGTTTTATTGGTAAAGAAGTTGGGGTAGCCTTAAAGAACAACTAACTTTTGCAGGAAACTGCCAATCCTTAGCAGTTAAGATTGGAATGGAATATGCCTTGTCATCAGCTGGATTCTAAATCACAACCTGAGAGTTGACTGGCTAGTGATAACTGAAGATAAACTACTGAGACCACTCAGCACAGGGGCCCCTCAAAATTTATAAATGTGTGCTAAACTTTGGGTAATAAACTTCTTTAAATCAATCTTTAATCTTTAATTGCTTCTTAATTATTTTGGTAAACTTTTGTTGTTTTGACACTTACCTTATCTCGTGATTCTTTGTTCTTGTTAATTTTTCTTAAATATGATTCTGTAAAGAAAAATTTAACATATATATCATTACATATTAATGATAGGGAACAACATCACTCAGTTTAATAGTTATTTGTTATGTTTGTTCTTGTCAATTTAATTTTGTATAAGTTCTTGTTTATATTTAGATGAATCAAATTGGACTCGGGCTTTAAACTGAACACAGTCCATCCGTAATAAAAGTATTCCATGTTGAATCATTGAATCATTCATTGCATGTTTCAGAGTTTCAAGTGTTAGTTTGCACCAGAGTTTCAGACCCAGAGATCCAGGCACCAGTCAGTCACCCAACCTGTCACTGCCATTCAGAGTATTCATTTGTTGTGTGATCAGATGCATCACACAGATTCTGTAACAAGTAGCCACACAGTAAGGCTCTTGTTTCACAATCCTACCAGTCACCCATTTTCCCTGGTAACAAGTACACCAAGTATTTTGATAAATTGTGATAGGGATAGACCATGATACCTATATAATTGACTATTTCTGTGTCACTACTCATCACAAGTACATCAAGTATTTGATACATTATGGTTGGGATAGTCCATGATACAAACCTATACAATCTGCTTTTTCTGTGTCACTACCCATCACAAGTACACCAAGCATTTTGTTATATTGTGGTTGGGGTAGTCCATGATACATACCTATATAATCAGTTATTTCTGTATCACTACCCATCAGAAGTACAACAAGTATTTTGATACATTGTTGTTGGGGTAGTCCATTATACATACCTATATAATCAGTTATTTCTGTATCACTACCCATCAGAAGTACAACAAGTATTTTGATACATTGTTGTTGGGGTAGTCCATGATACATACCTATATAATCAGCTATTTCTGTATCACTACCCATCAGAAGTACACCAAGTATTTTGATACATTGTGGTTGGGGTAGTTCATGATACATACCTATATAATCAGCTATTTCTGTATCACTACCCATCAGAAGTACACCAAGTATTTTAATACATTGTGGTTGGGGTAGTCCATCTTTTAATTGCAATATTGTTTTTATCACAGTATCTGAATCCTCGCAGCATAACTTCTCAATCATGTTAACTGAAAAAGAGAGTTGACAAAAAATATATATTAAAATGAATAAAAGGAGATGTGAGTTTACATCAATAAGATGGTAACCCAACAACACAAAAACCTTGAGACATCTAAAGGCTTTTACGAACATGCTTTCATAAATTTGTTTTTAAGCTCCTTGTTTTGCAAAATTCCCTTATTTTGTAAGGCTACAGTATAAAATTACATAAGAGTGATAAAAGTTTAAAGAAACAGACAAATCAAAATAATTTTTGTTACTGTTTGAATTATGGTAAAGTTTAGGTGATTTATAGTACAAACAATATGTTGAAGCCTATTTAAGCTAACTATATTGTAAGGGTTTTGCTCATTGTTGAAGGCCATACATTGACCTATAGTTGTTTACATTCATATTGTTTGGACTCTGTGGAAAGCTGTCTCATTAGCAATCATATTTCATCTTATTTTGATTGTCATTGATTTTTTTGCCCTTTTAACCTTCCTTCCTTTGATCACATGACTTAAAATACTTACTTTCACTGGCTACTGCATCAACATGTTGAAGACCGCCTTCCTCTTTAAAATAGGTCATGAACTGGTGAAGTGTTACTATACAGGTGGGTTTTATAGTTTCAGGGTCATAATTTGGGACATCTAGTAACCTCATTACTAAATGACGTATTACTGAAAAAAAGCACAGATACAATATTTTTATTATATCAAAACAAAATGGCTAAGTAGAAGGTTTATTTTATGGATGTTCAGAATAAATTCCAATTAGATTTGTAGCTATAAGACTTTATTCAGATATTCATCACCTCAAGATCCTGGCATTTTGTTTATGTTCATTGGATGCGCAAACAATGCATAAATCAGGCCAATAGTTTTCTCATTTGAATTGTTTTACATTTTTCATTTCGGGGGCCTGACTATGCAGTATGGCTTATGCTCATTGTTGAAGGCCGTACTGTGATCTCTAGTTGTTAATTTCTATGTCATTTGGTCTCTGGTTGAGAGTTGTCTCATTGGCAATTATACCACATCTTCTTTTTATATTAAGGGACAGTATCATTTTCTGATGTATGGTAATAATAATCTAGAGTGCTACGAGTTTGTTAACAAATTGTCTCAAAATTTTTTCAATTAAAAAATCTAGATATACAAATAAATACTATGCGGTATGGGTTTGGCTCATTGTTGAAGGCCATACCATGACCTATAACTTCTATGTCATTTGGTCTCTGGTGGAGAGTTGTCTCATTGGCAATCATACCACATCTTCTTATTCTTATAAAACCTAATATGATAAACACTGTAAATCAATTCTTTATTCAATTAACATGATTTAAAGTTCAAAGAATTGTTTATTGTTTAAAATATCTTCACATTAACAGTTACATATGTCCTGGTCAACATTTAAATTGGTCATTTGAATCCTCCCCACATGGTTCTAAGGACACCGAGCAGAAATTTGACCAGTGTCCTTAGCTACTTCTCTATAAATGTTTCTTCTGCTTCACAGTTAATACATTAGTTTGGCAGATATCAAAACCAATATTCAAACATAAACAATATACTGTCAAGACTCAAGATTTGCTACTGAACACATTTAGACTCTTACGTTAATACTAGACATTAGTTTGGCAGATATCAAAACCAATATTCAAACATAAACAATATACTGAGTTAATTCAATGTATTTATTGACCTACCTCTCTTTGGATCTCTCTCGTATTTACTACGTAGCTGAGCACCATACTTTTGATCTAAACAGGTAACCAGTTTCTCTGGTTGTATATACAAGAGGTTTTGATCAGTACACCTGGCCCAGAATTCTCGTAAACTTTTATCTTCAGTTAAACTGGACATCACTAAAAAAAGTACCATATACAAATAAAATTACATTCCTCTGGCTATTAATATACACATATCTTGTAATGTCAAATAAAATTACATTCCTCTGGCTATTAATATACACATATCTTATAATGTAAAATAAAATTACATTCCTCTGGCTATTAATATACACATATCTTATAATGTCAAATAAAATTACATTCCTCTGGCTATTAATATACACATATCTTATAATGTCAAATAAAATTACATTCCTCTGGCTATTAATATACACATATCTTATAATGTCAAATAAATCCTCATGGTCTTTTAATTTACATGGGACATGGGATTAGTTATAGCTATTGAAGAAAAACGTTTATATCTATATTATATATTTATAGATTATTGATGGTTTTCAAATGAGAGCGTGTTTCTCAACTACAATCTCTTCGAAAGGGAGACAGCTCTGAGATGAGATGTAATCAAGAAACATCCTCGAGTTTGAAAGACCAATGAGAATCTTGTTTATTGCTGTTTTTTTAGACGTCAATGACGTAGATTCATGACCTTGTGCATGCTGTTTCTACCAGACTGAGGAAAACCCATATTACTCGAGTAGTGTGATATGAAAAATGATCATAAAATAGAAGAAGAATGTGTCTAAGGACACAAATGTCCCTGCTCAAGCTTTGTAATTTTCCAAGTTAAAAAGGGGCATACCTCTATAACGGTAAATGACTCACTGCTCAAATTCGAACTCTGTCGGCAAGTTTTGGTTCTTAGCATTTTGTACATTTCAAAAAATTTGGATGAGACAAATATAAGTTAGAGTGCGGAAACGAACAAATTTGCGGATGGACGGTCAAGGTTGACACTTAATGCCACCGCTGCCTACAGAGGGGGCATAAAAAGTTCAAAATCTGTTTGAGAAAATAGGGAAAATACATATTATTATCAAATAGGCTTCAACTGATCAATGCTTTATAGCCTTTTGTGAGGATGTGCACGGACTGGACAACTGTCTACTCTAGATATCTTTTGGATTCTTATGTCTTTGAGTTCCTGCCGTATTGACATATACCCAAAATCTACTTTTATTCATATCAATAATGATTTACAATTGAAACTACACATCTGGAAAACAAAACATGAATTATTTTCTGAATCTTACTGGACAATAATTAATTATCTTCCTTACTCTGAATAAGACCAAAGCAATCAAAATTATCTTCCTTTCTCTGAATCTTACATAACAATATAACTATTTCGAAGCCATTCTCTGAGATCTTACCAGACAATAAGTCAATATCGGAGCCATTCTCTGAGATCTTTATCAAACTATCTATTATATCAGCCTGATTTTGAAGTCTATCTAATGCATAGATTTCCCTACATTTTAATGGACCATATACACCAAGGCTCTGCAAATAAAAATCACTCATTAGTTCCATTGTAAATTAATAATTGGTTTGATGTGACTGCAGTATTCTCAGGCTCAATAAGATGAAATTTCATTGATGAATAATATATATATATCTGTGGGAAGAACAAAAATTTGGGTTATGCAGATCTAAACTTTGTTGTGATAAATTTGAGACAAAGTATATACATTTATCTATATACATTATGTATGTATATTTGGTTTAATTTCTACATAGAGCTGCATGTGTCTAATAGGCTAACATAGTATTATATACAAATATTCCTGGGATTAAAAAAAAAAACTTTAAATACATGATGAAAGATCAGCATACAAGATTATCTAAATCTCCTCAAATGTAATCTGATTTAATCATGTGTAAGCCAGGTAAATTTTGAAATTCTGAGTAAACAATTGTAACCTCTACTTACCTCAAGTAATCTCTCACAATAAACTAAATGATACACTAAGGCATGATCCACTTGGTCATTCTCTGTAGTTGGTGGCAAAGGACTGGAACCTAAACTGGATCCAAGTTGTGTGTCTTCACTTAGGCGCTTTGCTAATGACTCAATCCCTGAGTCAGCAGTTTTGGCAGTTGAATCTGGACTAGACATGACATGGTCAAATACAGAAGCATCACTGTAATATAGAACATTAATAAAACAAATATTTATTATACTTCACATTACAATGCCAGATTTTGATTGGTTGATAAATTAAATAACACATAGTTGCAAGGGTGATAGAGCATGTTGTTACCCCTCAAAAAAGCATTGTCAACCGAGGCCAAAAACAGAGGCTTTGGCCTCGGTTGACAATGTTTTCCCGGGCTAACAATCTGCCCTATTATCCTCTCAACTATGTATTATTTATTTAATATAGTTTAACATCATAAAATATATCCAATTTTTTCTAAGTCTGCATTAAAATTATTCAAAACTTTTCTAGAACTATTGGAGATGCAGAGCTTGACATATTGTTAAGGTACTTTTTTATTGTGAAGACCATATATTGAACCCTAGATGTCTTTTGATGTTGTTTTTAGCTGTTGTTGGGTTGTGTTCTTACTAACATATATCTTCAAAGTATAGTGATAAAAAGATTTTATATTCCCATTATATCTTGTATATAATGCTTAATTTTAAAAGAAAAACCAGACAATTGTATGAGTAAAAAGGTTTTTATATATGGAATATTTTTAATAGTCTAAAAACTTACTGATGATTTTCTGGATCACCATTCTCTTCTTCTGTATTCAGAAAATCAAACGCACCCAAAGCGCTTTCAATAGAAATACTTATACTGGATGATCTTGAACTGCATCGTGAATGTTTCTGAAAATGTAAATTACCACTTTGTGTGTAACTGTTCCTTTGAATTAAAAAAAAAACCCTCAGAAATGACATGTTATTAAGAACAACCATCAATTCATTTTTTACAAATCTCTAGAACCTTCCTTCTTCTGGTAGTCAACTGCTACCAGGAAACAGTTTTATGTCTATTTCTAAATAAGTCATCTGTCATATTCCCTAATGTGTATAATGTTTATCAATTGACAGAAAAACAGTAAATGAAATTAATTAAAAAATTGTGAATTTCTAACTGAAATAATTTGTTTTAACTCTAAATCTTTTTCCTTACCAAATTAGAATAAATGATTTGTCCAAAGAATATTGCTGGCATTGACTTATCAGAGAAAAAATTAATATTTTCATTACATTTGTAAAATCATGGTCTGATTTAATGGATGTTCCAGAATTAAATGCATGGGGAGCATGGAAGACACTTTTTTAAAAACCCATAAATTAAAATTTTCACTTTGCTTAAATTTTTTACAAAATTCTAAGGAAAATGCAACCACCCATACCTAATTAATTTGAATGCCTCCTTTACCCCAACCTAATTAATTTGAATGCCTCCTATCCCCCATACCTAATTAATTTGAATGCCTCCTATCCCCCAACCTAATTAATTTGAATGCCTCCTATCCCCCAGCCTAATAAATTTGAATGCCTCCTATCCCCCAGCCTAATAAATTTGAATGCCTCCTATCCCCCAGCCTAATAAATTTGAATGCCTCCTATCCCCCAACCTAATTAATTTGAATGCCTCCTATCCCCCAACCTAATAAATTTGAATGCCTCCTATCCCCCAGCCTAATTAATTTGAATGCCTCCTATCCCCCAACCTAATTAATTTGAATGCCTCCTATCCCCCAACCTAATTAATTTGAATGCCTCCTATCCCCCAGCCTAATTAATTTGAATGCCTCCTATCCCCCAACCTAATTAATTTGAATGCCTCCTATCCCCCAACCTAATTAATTTGAATGCCTCCTATCCCCAACCTAATTAATTTGAATGCCTCCTATCCCTCAACCTAATTAATTTGAATGCCTCCTATTCCCCAACCTAATAAATTCTGGAACAGCCCAAAGATCATTTTATGATTATTTGAGACATTCTTGACAGGAATTAATAAAACAATGCATAAACTATTTTATTTATATTTTCAACAATAAATGACTCAATGGAAACATTGGGCTCTGGTTGATTGTCTCGTTGGCAATCATTCCACACATTCTTATTTTGAAATGCTAGTAACATTTATTTTTATAAGGAATACTTGTTTCCTATGTACATCACAATGTCTACACTTACTTATCACAATCAGTTCAGAATAATTATATTCCTTAAGACGCATCAATACTATAATATGAAAGTAAAAATACTATCCCACAGAAAACAACAAGTTTATGAATTTTTCACTCAAAATATAATTCAAATAAGAAAAATAATACTTCATTTTTTCTTTATAGTTTACTTATGTGAGATAAAATTTTCTTTGATACTATTTTTTAATATATGATAAAGTCCTCACTCGTAATATTTGTTCTAACATGACAACAACATCTTCCAGTTTTTCTAACTCCCGATACTGTCCATGATAATCCTCTAACGTAGTCATCAGACTGTGTAAAGCATCCTCTACATTTGTTGGCTCGTCTTTTGACAATGTCACAGTGTGACCTAATGCCACGGGGAAATGTAAATGTGAATACCACGATGAGAGTAACGTTGATGCTGGCGAGGATGTCACTAAGGGTGATATAGAGGGCGCTGCCATTGGTTTCACAATGTCAATATTGTTATTTGAAGTAATCTCTGGAGTTTCCATCACAGGTACTGGTGGCGCATGGCGTTTCATTCCTAACGGTGAATTAGCACTGGGTACATGTATAACACTAGAAAATCCTGAGTCTCTTTGTAGGTTAAAAGAATTGTCAGAATGAACTGTACGATACGGTGATGAGAAACTACTATGATTACCACTCGTACGTAAAATAAAGTTATCGTCTTTGGTTGTGGTTAGATTTGGTGGTGTTGAATGTCTTCTGCTGTCGTCTGATGATAAACTTGAGTAACTTCCACTCTGTAAAAAAATTGTAGTTGTAGTAGTTATATCTGAATGTTAATCATAATTATAACAATTCTGTTTTAATGGCAGATTTTTGATGGTTTCTGTTAGATTTTTTTACAACTTTTATGGACTTAAGATGATTGTTGAAGACTATTTTGCACTCGATGTTTTTTTTGTTATTTGTTTATAGGTTACTGTCTCATTGACGAATACCTCACATCACCTTTTAGTCAGTAATATGAAGAGCATAAAATATGTGGGATTTAAAAAGAGATTAGGTTAACAAAAGGTCAATACTGGACCTTAGGAATAATAACATTTGATCTTAGATAATGATAATTAAAGTTTGAAGTTTGTAGCTAACATGACAATATGTGTGATACTCAATTAAATCTATCATTCCTTAAAATACAGTTTGTTTTATCATTGAACTTTGTAAAAAAAAATCAGTCTTTTGTTATAAAGTGTATCTAACCAAATAAAGCCACAAGAGTTGGTTCTAGACCGCAATGAATGTAATCTCAAAGTCTACTAACTACTGATCAATATGAACTATTAATTTATCTTTTTTGTTTTTATTAAGATTAATATAAACTACATTTAAGAAATTTTCATTTGTAGCCTGTATTTATTTCTGTAAATACTGCTGTAATATTGATCAATTAATTATTGGTGTTTACTACCAAGTCAGGAAAATGGCCATTGTTATATTATAGTTTCTGTGTGTGTTACATTTTAATGTTGTGTTTCTGTTGTGTCGTAGTTCTCCTCTTATATTTGATGTGTTTCCCTCAGTTTTAGTTTGTAACCCAGGTTTGTTTTTCTCAATCGATTTATGAATTTCGAACAGCGATATACTACTGTTGCCTTTATTTACGCCACTTTCAGGACCATTGGATATATCATGGCGGCACGTTTGTATTGGTTTAGAAAGCTAGAGACTGTCTGGTGAGAACCATGGACATTTGACAAGAAAACTAGCAATCCTAGTAAATTTAGATTGGATTTGAACGTAATTGTCGTGTGCAGGTTTCCACCTCACAACCTCAGTGTTGACAGGCTAGTAATACAGTAGATGAATAACTTAGACCACTTGGCCATCTGAAGTTCTTTCATTTTAATATTAATCTTTTTAGCATATATACTGAAAGGGGATTGGACAAGATAGGAATGTGCTATCCAATCAAAATTAAATTTGGATATGTATAATGTCCTACCAGTTCTCCATTTAGAGCCAACACAGATACAGGTCTCTTCCGTGGAGTAGTCTGTGGTCTGCTTGGAACATCGAAATATGACATAGACTCCTCCACACCTTCTAAAGGACTGAAATACAATAAAATTACAGATTAGTTACACATAAAATGGATGTCTTTTTCCCCTTGGTATTTGGAAACAGGCATGGTACTCATTTTCAGCTATTTTGTCTGTTAATGTTGTTAGCAATGTCAAACTTTTCTAATTCGCATATTGTTTAGTTATTGGCAATTTACCAATAAGGTTAGTAAGGAAAATATTTTCTATTTCTAAACTTTATAATTTTGTTTTATGACTTATTCAAATTTGGCTCAATAAAAAAATATAAAGTTGGATTTATATCTTTCCTGAGTAAACCATTTTCTGTATGTGCTTGACCACAGGCAGGCAACTATAGTCCAGTGATTGTCAATAGTTTTGTTTTTCTTTTTATGTTATGAGCTTTAATCAGACTGTTTAATTTTACCTTTTGAAATGTTTAACATTTTATTATCCAGGGGCATTTTAAAGATTATTTTACAGTAGGATTTAGCTGACTGTTGAAGGCTGTACCATGACCTGTTTATATCCTTGTCAGTTGATGGATATGTAATTATTCAGTTAATTTGAAACTAAACTGAAATAACCATTGGTTATTATACTGTTTTTGGCCTCTGACCTCTACACTTACTTCCATGTTATAATGACACTAAGTTTAACAGAACTGTTGTTATTGATGCTGTTTTGACCTCTGACCTCTACTTATTTCTATGTAGTAATTACGCTTAGTTTAAGATAAACTGTTAACACAGAGATATGTCTCACCTTTTTGTTATTTTGATAATGCATATGTTGAAATTAAAATAGCAATACTTTAACATGCAATTTTTGCAAATATTCAGTCAATGAACCATGACTGAAGGTGCATGGCTAAACGATCTCCATGGAAATGAGATGTGCCAATGCTAATACAACTGCATATCAAATACCATTGACTTATCATAAGTCGTTCCCTTTAAACAAACCTAAACACAAACATTAACTTGATAACTATGTAAAAGTTTTGAAGTCAAAGAACCATCATAAGGAGGTGGGGCTATAAAATCTCCATGGAAATGAGACTTGCAAATGCCAATACATTCGCTTACCAAATATCATTGACTTATAATTAGTGGTTCATCTTTAACTGATCTAATAACAAACTAATACATGTAAACTACGCAAAAGTTTCAAAGTCAATAGACCATGACTGAGGGGTAAGGACCAAATATTCTCCATGGAAATGAGATGTGCCAATGCTTATACGACTGCATACCCCATATCATTGACCTACCACTATAAGGTCCCCATAAACTGACCTAATCACAAACTAATACATGTAAACTAAGCAAAAGTTTCAAAGTCAATAGACCATGACTGAGGGGGTAGGGCCAAATAATCTCGATGGACATGAGATGTGCCAATGATAATACAACTGCATACCAAATATCATTGACATACCACTAGTGTTGCACCATAAACTAGACCTAATCACAAACTAATACATTGTTGACGCCAATGCCGGAAACAGCATACCTATTTCTTACTTTTTGACTGTTAAGGCGAGACAAAAACTGTTGGTATAGATGCTGTTTTGACCTCTGACCTTTATATATAATAACATTCAATAATTAAACTAAGTTTAATAGAACCATTGGTTTTAACTGTTTTTTTACCTCTGACTTCTATACTTACTTCCATTTAATAATTACACTAAGTTTCAGAGAACCGTTGCTATTGATGCTGTTTTTTACCTCTGACCTCTTTACTTACTGCCATGTGATTATTGCACTAAGTTTAAGAGAAATATTTGTTTTGATACTGTTTTTGACCTCTGACCTCTATACTTACTTCCATGTGATTATTACACTAAGTTTAAGAGAACTGTTAATATTGATGCTGTTTTGACCTCTGACCTCTTTACTTACTTCCATGTGATTATTACACTAAGTTTAAGAGAACCATTGGTATTGATGCTGACTGTCATTAACTGTGGATTACAGGAGAACAAATCTTTCGTCTCACATGTTTTTTGTCCTAATATCACAGACTTGAAGCTTCTTACTTCTACTCCCTGAAAAAAGTCACAAAGTATTAAAAACAGAGGCTCTGGAGTATGTTTATTCAACAATAAATTATGCCTGTTTTATGTTATATTTTCAAGTTCAAAGAAAATTGGTATTTCCTGAATAATAATGAATCCACAGTGTAAAAACAGGAACTTATCTCCCTTGTTTCCTTGAAAGTGATGACTAGATTTTGCAAGTGATCTTGAACTTGGATTTTTTAGAATTTTGTTTTTAAGCATCAAGAATTTATATTCTCTACACTAGTAGACTATTTGTTTTTCGCCAGAATTTACTAAATTTTACTTTTTGTAGAAACTCAGCTTGAATTTATTTTCAATATAAAGTATACAAAACTAAAAATGTAAAACCCTGTCATGACTTGTAATATATTTTAATATATTTTGCTGTATTGCTGTCCCACTGATGTTTACCCACCATCTCATTTCATAAATACTAAAAAATTAAGCATACAGATACACAATCCTTGTGTAATGATGTTGAAAAAGGGGAACAATCCATCAACTGTTAATAGTCAGATTTTTCTGTATTAAAACTGTCCATAATGTTTGATTCTTATATCCTGTATTTTACTAAATTACTAATATAAATACTGATTGTACTGTCCATCAGAGTTTACCTGTTATACAGCAATAAACAGGTTTACAGGAGACAATAGATATACCGATAGACATGATGAAGATGTTATATGAATTGAACTCAGCTAGACTTAACCTGTCAGCCAAATTTTTTATTCTGTTTGGACCAGTTAGTCCTCTTATCCTTAAATGGAACAATATTGTAGGGAAGCATCAAATATCCATTTTTAAGTCACTTGGTAAGACTTCAATGGGGATCAAAAACTTTCTTCCTGTACTCAATATGAGACACACAATACTGTGGATTCATTTATTTTCGTGGGTACCAATTTTCGTGGATTAAGGAAAACTCACATGTTCGTGGATATTTAATTTCGTGGTTTTGCCAAAGTCTGCATACAGATCTATAGGAAATTTGTCATTCGTTGAACATTTAATTTCGTGGTTCATCTGTACCCACGAAAACCACGAAAATTGGTATCCAACGAATAATAATGAATCCACAGTATGTGTTCTGTCTTAAACTCTCTTTAGTGACAATCATACAGTAAATACTATACTATATGTAATGACTTTAATACTAGTTAGAGCTTGACACATTTGTATGGACGTCTGTCTTTATGATGAAGTCTTATGATGTTGACCTTTAGATGTCTTCTGCATTATTTTTATGTTAGGTTGTGGTCTCATTGACATTTGTATGGACACCTGTATAATATCAAAGACCTTATGTTGACCTTTTGATTTTTTTGTTATTTTGTGATGCAGGGTTGTGGTCGCATTGCTGTATATCCCCATCACTTTTTATTCATACTTGAACTACTAAATAATCTCATGCCCATCACCAATGACAGTTTTAAATGTATACTCTGGGTTCTCCCATCTCTGGTTCCCTTCCCATTAACTTGTCTATTTACCTTTATATGAAGCCCATCACCAATGACAGCTTTAAATGTATTCTCTGGGTTCTCCCATCTCTGGTTCCCTGTTTTTTCCACTCTGCCACGTGAACGCCACTTCTGTGACCCATGTCGCAGAGTAATATCAAATACATCTCCTGGACATAATCTTGCAAAGCCTGCCATACCTGTGAAAACCCCAGATAAATATTAAATAAGCCCAAAAACAAACGCATCTTGTTATCTCTAAGTTAAGAATTAATTCAGGAAACACCCTGTACAGAGTTTACTATACATGGAGAATAAAAATAAGAATAAAAGAAGAATGTGTCTGAGCATGAATGTCCCAGCTCAAGCTTTGCAATATTCCAAGTTAAAAAGGGGCATAACTACACTCTAGAACGGTAAATGACTCACTGCCCAAGTTCGAACTCTGTCTGCATTATGTTGTTTTAAGCATTGTGTATTTGTTTCATAAAATTTGGGTGAGGCAAACTTTAGAGAGCAGAAACGAAAAAAAATTACAATTTATAAAGGGGCATAGGGTGGGGGCATAAAAATATCTATTGTGATCTTTGGAACCAAACTTTATGTAAGCTGTCTAAAATTGAGTTTTGTTTAACACTAGCTTCATTTAAGATCATAATACAGTGCAAAGTCTTTAGTTGAAACTTCAGGGATTTTTTCCCTATGGAAAGTTTGAGTTGATCTCAGAACTTTTAAATTTTCATATTTACCTTTAATTCTACAATGGAACGTTCCCATCATAGCCTCTAACTGAGCTTCTATTGCACACATTGTCTACAATAAATTTCAGTGAAATATTAACTAAATATTTCAATGTTAATTTCTGAGTTTGTTATTTAGAAAGGAAATAATAACCCTGTATTGAAGCATGATTATAATATTCCTTAGTTTGATTTTCTTGATATGATTGCCATAATTTTATCGGAAAGAAAAGAATTTAAGGCAACTAAGAAGAAATATTTTATACAAGAAAACATTGCTAATTATCCAATAAATTTGGAAAAAAAGGTCAATATTAAATAATTTTTGTTATTTAAGCAACACTTGAAATATATGTGAAACAATGTATGTAAGTGTCTGTACAAACCTGTATACATTCTAACATGCCATATTTAACATTACTCAGTGTGTCTTTTTGACTGGTTGGTGATGTGGTATAAGCCTTCTGTAAATTTCTGGTACCTAAAAAAATAAAATAAATAAATCATACTTCCTCTACTTGTTGGACCATGTCTTAGTTATCAAAATGTTGTGCTTTTGTAATTTATTTATACATGTATATGCTGGTCAACATGACTTAAAGAGTAAAGGTACTGACAGAACACAATTTCATATTTTAATTTGCGTAATTAAGCTCTTTTTTTGTCTCATAGCTCCCAATATAACATATTTATACATCTTTGCCTTTCAAGTTTTTGGGTTTGAGCATCCCTGATGATGGTAAATCTAGAACAGCACTTCGGTCGATCAAAACAAGTGTTATTTTAGTTTAATAAGTGTATTTTACCATCTCTGTGTTAATTTAATGAGTGTTTTTTACCATCTCTGTGTTACTTTAATGAGTGTTTTTTTACCTTCTCTCAGTTGTTGCTGTACCATATAACAATCATGTAACTCTTCAATCTGAAAAAAAATAATAATCGTTTAATAATTCATATTAAGTGTTAAGTTATATCTATTTCTTTGATTTAGTTATATAGTAAACTATCAAAAGGAATTACAAGGTCAAGTTTCCAAAAAGGGACTGGTTCATTTCAATGGTTAAATTACAAGGTTAAGTTAACAAAAAGGCAGTGGTTCATTTGGATTGGTCATAAAAATAATAAAGAAGTAAGTTTCCTTATAAAGGCTGGTTCATATATGGATTGGTCAACAAATAGAATATAGGTACATTTTCCAAATAGCCACCAGTTCATAATTAAGAATGGTTTCCAAAGAGATCTGATAACAAGAATATGTCTCAATAGGACATGATGACCCTTTTGCACCATCATATTTCAATGTTCAGTGTACTGTAAAATCAGGGTCAAAACCTTAACTTGGCATATAATCTAAATAGTTCACACCAACAAGTGTACAAACTTTCAAGTTGATGTGACAACAACTTCATTGTAGCCTACTTAAAGCCAAACACTTTAACCTGATACTGATATGGAAGTGACACACAAATTGGTTAAAGCGTTTTTGAGTTATTGTCCGACATGTTGATGACGGATGGACGGACAGATGGACGTACAACCAGATGGACAACAGTATACCATAATACATCCGGTAAACGGGCGTATAAAATCAAGGAGATGTGGGATGATATCCAATTTCACAATTCTCAATGACTATCAGAAAACAACCCAGATATCAGACAGAGCCCTATCACCCACTTATGGTTTGATGACTATCAGAAAACAACACAGCTGTCATTCAGAGTCACTACCCAAATGTTGGTTCAATGACTACAAGAAAACAACCCAGGTGTAAGTTAGAGCCGATAGACCTTTCATGGTTCAATGACTACCAGAAAACAACCCAGGTGTTAGTCAGAACTGCCTGCCCTTTCTTAGTTCAATGACTACTAGAAAACATCCCAGGTGTGAGTGAGAGCCGCCTGCCCTTTCATGGTTCAATGACTACTAGAAAACAACCCAGGTGTGAGCCAGAGCTGCCTGACCTTTCACGGTTCAATGACTACTAGAAAACAACCCAGGTGTTAGTTAGAGCCGCCTGCCTTTTCATAGTTCAATGACTACCAAAAACAACCCAGGTCTAAGTCAGAGCTGCCTGCCCTTTCATAGTTCAATGACTACCAGAAAACAACACAGGTATTAGTCAGAGCCGCCTGCCCTTTCATGGTTCACTTTTTGGTCTGTTAACTGATGTCCATAGCATGACACTGTTTTATTTCCAGTTACATTAGTATTTTATTTCCTAAATCAATACTTGGTTGCTGTGAATCCTCATATGACTAATTACAATTCTTCATATAAATGTTTTTTTATTTCTTATTGATTTCACAAGATATGTTTGCTGACTCATTTCATCTGATAAAGTAACAGTATTGTGAAAAGAGAATAAAACTTCTTATTAAATTGGTTTCAATGAAATGCCGTCAAATAATTATCAATGTGAAATAACCTCAGTCTGTGTTTTCTCTTTTGTCATACAACAGTAAGTGTTGTCAGGACATTGTGAACCCTAAGTGAGAACATGTCGTAACAGATATAGTTCCTGCATTTTAATATTTACACTAAAAGAAAATGTAAAGAAAAGAATAACTAATTCAATAATTCAAATATATATTTCTATGTTTTTGAAATATAATCTTTAATTTTTCAGTAACCTAAATGGTATACTTGTTTGCACTGTAATTGAATCGGATGCGTATCCAGGATTTTGATAAAAAGAGGATGGGGGAGGGGGGAAAAATAGGCAACATTTGGATTGGGAAATGTAAAAAGTCTATGCATTTTGCATTTACCCCATATGTAGCTCCAAAAGAGGCCTCTGGGAACATATCATGTTTTTTTATGTAGATTATCACATGCGTAGCAATGGAGTGGTGGATACCAGTTTTAAAGATTGGGATTTGATCTAGCCTAGGATTGGATCTACAACCTCCCTTTCCCTAACCAAGCATGCTACCAAAGACCTTCAAAATGAATTTCAGCATCTTTACTTCTATAAAATTATCCGTTTAGCTGAACGAACATTAGGATCTATTTGTATGCTATCAAATTAGACAGTTATATGATATCTGTATTGTGTATTGATTTGTGAACTAAGTTTTTGATGTTATTACAGTTCCATGTAATACAATTACTTCTCATGCCTATATACTATCTAGTCTGATGCAGAACAAATATCTGTTATCTAACGTTTAGTCAGAAATCAATGGAAACATATTACATAATAGGCAGTTTGAATAAAATAACATAATCTAAAATATTACTCAATGTCAGCTATCTATTTTTAGACATCAGCTATGAATTTTCCTACAAAATGTAGCATTTTTGACATTTTTATCATAATTTTGTTTGAAGGGTTTATATAAAAATTTCTGCAATACATTTGCACAATATTATGACTAAGCAACTTGAGTCATGAGAAATACCATCAACCCTTGGATATATGTTTAATTCTTTGTTTACTACAAATAATATGTCTCAGATTCTTAAAGTTTTTCAAAAGACTATTACAGAGGTGGATTTTAGGGAAGAATACACTATGCTGCTACATATATATTTAATGCATAGTCTCACTGCTAACATTGCCTTGCTGGTGGGCCTGCCCCTTTTCAAAATCCAGGACAAGCATATAACCAATGCCTTTCTGAACAATTGCCCATATAAGGAGAGATGCGTTAAGATTTGTTTTATCTTAAAGATATTTTTCTTCCTCTGAAGTAAATCATGTCCTTTAATACTGCATTTATTTATTCATCCAGAATCTGATTTGGTAGTAAATATAAATTAAAATAGATTCAAGTTAAAAGCACTGAGAAAGCAATCTGACAGCAATATTCATAATTTACCCAAAACAACATCAGGCTTCAGAAGGAACCTAGCATTGAAGTACAATGAAAAACAAGAAAATTCACGATGTTTCATTGCTGTAAACCATGGTTAACTATTCAAAATATATGTGTGATGTCCCAAGAATTCAAAGCATCTTAAAATGCTTAAGAAAAAATTGAAACACTTTTTTATATATTGTCTATTCTTTAATTTCACTTGAATGAAATATCCCACTGAGACAAGTAGTCAATGTGCCAGACAGGAAGACACATTTTTGTTACATCTCAGCCCCATAAAATAAAATTGTTCATGTAAAATCCAACACTGAAATTCACAAAGTTACCATTCCAACCTTAGACCTATGGTAAAAATGCCAACCTTAGAATACATGTATGATCATGTATGGTTAAAATACCAACATTAGAATACATGTATGATCATGTATGGTTAAAATACCAACATTAGAATACATGTATGATCATGTATGGTTAAAATACCAACCTTAGAATGCATGTATGACCATGTATGGTTAAAATACCAACCTTAGAATACATGTATGATCATGTATGGTTAAAATACCAACATTAGAATACATGTATGATCATGTATGGTTAACATACCAACCTTAGAATACATGTGTGATCATGTATGGTTAAAATACCAACCTTAGAATGCATGTATGACCATGTATGGTTAAAATACCAACCTTAGAATACATGTATGATCATGTATGGTTAAAATACCAACATTAGAATACATGTATGATCATGTATGGTTAACATACCAACCTTAGAATACATGTGTGATCATGTATGGTTAAAATACCAACCTTAGAATGCATGTATGACCATGTATGGTTAAAATACCAACCTTAGAATACATGTATGATCATGTATGGTTAAAATACCAACATTAGAATACATGTATGATCATGTATGGTTAACATACCAACCTTAGAATACATGTGTGATCATGTATGGTTAAAATACCAACCTTAGAATACATGTATGATCATGTATGTTTTAAATACCAACCTTAGACAGATGAAACTCTAATCTTTTCAGGTATCTCTCTGCTGCTTTAATTTGCTGGAAAGATAAGAAACGTAATATCATATCGCTTAAATACAAGGATCCAGCTTTGGATTTTAGAGAGGTGACAAACATAATATCATATCGCTTAAATACAAGGATCCAGCTTTGGATTTTAGAGAGGTGACAAACATAATATACTGTTTAAATATAAGGATCCAGCTTTGGATTTTAGAGAGGTGACAAACAAGGTGTCCAGAATTTGAAAAAAAAGATGGATCCAACAAATTTTCTCTTGACTGTTATGGAGCATCCAAGTTCATACCCAGTTTTCTGTTGAGGTTCTTGTTGTTCAATCTTCAGGTTTCTGTGTAGTGTTAAAGGCGGTGTGTTGTTTGTCGTATCATTGTTTTTCTGTTTCTCATTGTGTTGTCTGCAGGGAACAACTGTTTACCAATCCTTGCCTTTGATATAAACCCCTGTCTATTGTTGAGGATCATATGTTGACCTCTAGATATTTTTTTTCGTTTTCTGTTTAATTTGGTTCCTGTCTCATTGCTGTATAATCAACATCTTTTATTAATACAAATTATTAATCCTTCTTTTTTCCTATAAACAATCTATAAATAACACATAGCTGAGAGGGTGATAGAGCAGATTGTTAGCCCTAGAAAACATTGTCAAATGAGGCAAAGCTAAGGTTGACAAGCCTTTTTGATGGATAACAATCTACTCTTTCACTCTCTTATCTGTTTTATTTAATTCATAAACTGAATGTTAATTTTCAAATAATACACTATGACATCCTGTACATAACAACCATCTATATTTAATATATCGTACAATTGATCAAGAAACTCTGTGAAGGGTAAAAGCATATTCGCCATGTGATAGAGTTAATTATCAACCTCGTATTAACCAATCAAAATCTGGCATTTAAACATGAAGTATAATAAAAATAAATGTTTCATTCCTAGTCATGTAAGATTGACTGTACTCAAGCATTGTTTTCATCCTTCTTCACTGAAAAGGTGGTGTTTTCTATTTTCCAAGTTCATAAGTTCACTCTTCAGCACCATTTTTTATAAAAAAATTAGGGCTAATTTTCATTCTTAAATTTATTTGAAATATGCATAGAATTTGTATTTTACCGAGACATGAGTATATAATAATCTATAAAACTTCTATTATCATTCAAATAATGAAAGACCATGCATCAAGAGTCCAATTCTCCTACCAGCTTAAGTAGGAAATTCTGTAACCTGATTTCTGTAATAGGATCACTTAGGATCTGTATAGTCATAGCAAACATCATATAAATCTAATCAACAGACATTCCTCTATTGAGAACCTGTAATGTTAATGCATTTAATGCATTTTTATGTATTTGGGAAGGAAATAAATTCCCATGAATCTGTTGGTGTTTACCTTCTTATTCAGAACTGTCCCATTACATAAATTCTACTGTATTTACATCAGTATCGGTTCATGCATTTTCATCACTAGGAGTTTCCTTTTTTTGTACAGCCAAATTAATCAATGAATGATCCGTTTTTCAAGGAGAAATTTAACATTTGCTTTGAATGAACTCCACAGAGAACAATTGCTATTGTATCTATTCAATTGGACAGTTCACTTTGCAAAATTTAAATAATATTACAGCCATTTTAAACAACCTTAACCTGACAGCATATAACCTAGACAGCTACCATTAGATCAGGACACATGACACAATGGGTATTGATGGGCATTTGAGTTTATTTACATATACAGCAACTGTTTGGTAATAGGCAAATGTGAGTTTCACTTTTGTCTAAATTGTGGAAATGAAAAACACTTTTCTTCTAAAAACTCCCATTTTGAATTTTAGATATTCTATATTATAAAAACAGAAGGACTACAATAGCTTATTTTTTTATGTATAAAATATGTGCAAAAATGTAACCTGCAACACAGCATCTTGTAAAATCCCTATCATGTGACTAAAGTGGCCTTTCAAACATGCATTGGGAGTTATCATGTGACATAGGTGACGTTTAAACATGCATTGTGAGTTATATTAGTGTAAAAACAACCAGACTTAAAAACATGAGATCTTTATGTTAGAAAACTTAAACAAGCATGCAACAAACTTCATCAATCAAATCACAGCTGTAACTCCAAACCATAACCCAACAATCATGCAAACAATTAAAAATACCGGAAAATCCTTCAACAACAATCATGCAACACAAACACAAACATATAGTTTACCTTATCTGTTTCCAATAATTTCCCCTGCAGAAGTAATGTTAACATACAAGAGGGTTAAACTGACAAACAAAAAATGTTATTTCAGTAATACAGTATCCTTAAATGACCTTGAGATGTGGATACTGACCTTTCCATCATTCTGTTGGAAATATAACTCAATTTAAAACATGCCATAACTCCATTTTTATATTTTAAGAAAAATTAATAGAAAAGAATTAAACCAGAATGAACTTAAAAATAAGAAAATGGTTAATTAGCTCCAAAGTAGTTAAGAATCAGTTCTGTTAATAGCTTTGAAACTTCCATCCTTTTTCCACTGAGTGGACTTTGTTTTTAAAATTTTACAGCTTTTAGTACTTTTCCTTTATTGCCTTAATATAGTCGTAGATTTATTCTTGCATCGTACATAAAAGACCCGTCTATCATGACCCACTAATTATTCTATCATGACCCAGTAAAAGAACCTTCCTCAAATAAATTGATCTATCATAACCCAGTAAAACAGAACCCTCCTCAAATAAATTGATCTATCATGACCCAGTAAAAGAACCTCCTCAAATAGTTTAATCTATCACGGCCCAGTAAAACGGAACCCTCCTCAAATAAATTCATCTATCATGACCCAGTAAAACCGAACCCTCCTCAAATAAATTGATCTATCATGACCCAGTAAAAGAACCTCCTCAAATAGTTGAATCTATCATGGCCCAGTAAAACCGAACCCTCCTCAAATAAATTGATCTATCATGACCCAGTAAAAGAACCTCCTCTAATAGTTTAATCTATCACGGCCCAGTAAAATGGAACCCTCCTCAAATAAATTCATCTATCATGACCTAGTCAATTATTAGAACCCTCCTCAAATAAATTAATCTATCATGACCCAGTATCAGAATGATTCAATCTTATTATATATTCAGTAAATGTATTCATAAATATTGATGAGGCATGTGAGAGAAAATTTAATTAATCAAAGTGCTATAATAAATATTTTACTATACACCAGATTTATTCAAGTTCATAAAGAAACTTCTGTCTTCGCTATTAAATCTCATCTAGCATGTCTAGATATAGATGAATTCAAAAAAACGAAATTTGAAGGATTTTGTTTAAATAACTATTGATTTTTATTCCTAGACCTATTACATATTAATAAAAAAAATATGCTAGCAGCTGTTAAAAGATTTATAAATTTCCCTTTACATTTCAAGAATTCTATTTCAGGTCCACAGTGACAACTGAATTTGTCATTTTACTATCAGATTTAGTGACCCATCCTTCATTTTAAGTCAAGATAATATGAACATTGTTCAGTTTGACATCCTTTATTTCAGAAATATTAGGCCAAGATACTATGAACATTGTTTAGAGGGTCATCCTTTATTTCAGAGGATTAGGCCAAGAAAATATGAACATTGTTTAGTGGGACATCCTTTATTTCAGAGATATTAGGCCAAGATAATATGAACATTGTTTAGTGGGACATCCTTTATTTCAGAGATATTAGGCCAAGATACTATCAACAATGTTTAGTGGGACATCCTTTATTACAGAGGATAAGGCCAAGATACTATGAACATTGTTTAGTGGGTCATCATTTATTTCAGAGATATTAGGCCAAGATAATATGAACATAATAATGTTTAGTATGACATCCTTTATTTCAGAGATATTAGGCCAAGATAATATGAACATTGTTTAGTGTGACATCCTTTATTTTAGAGGATTAGGCCAAGATACTATCAACATTGTTTAGTGGGTCATCATTTATTTCAGAGGATTAGGCCAAGATACTATCAACATAGTTTAGTGGGACATCCTTTATTTCAGAGATATTAGGCCAAGATAATATGAACATAATAATGTTTAGTATGACATCCTTTATTTCAGAGATATTAGGCCAAGATAATATGAACATTGTTCAGTGTGACATCCTTTATTTCAGAGATATTAGGCCAAGATACTATCAAGACAGTTTAGTGGGACATCCTTTATTTCAGAGATATTAGGCCAAGATAATATGAACATAATAATGTTTAGTATGACATCCTTTATTTCAGAGATATTAGGCCAAGATAATATGAAAATTGTTTAGTGTGACATCCTTTATTTTAGAGGATTAGGCCAAGATACAATGAACATTGTTTAGTGGGTCATCCTTTATTTCAGAGATATTAGGCCAAGATAATATGAACATTGTTTAGTGTGACATCCTTTATTTTAGAGGATTAGGCCAAGATACTATCAACATTGTTTAGTGGGTCATCATTTATTTCAGAGGATTAGGCCAAGATACTATCAACATAGTTTAGTGGGACATCCTTTATTTCAGAGATATTAGGCCAAGATAATATGAACATAATAATGTTTAGTATGACATCCTTTATTTCAGAGATATTAGGCCAAGATAATATGAACATTGTTCAGTGTGACATCCTTTATTTCAGAGATATTAGGCCAAGATACTATCAAGATAGTTTAATGGGACATCCTTTATTTCAGAGATATTAGGCCAAGATAATATGAACATAATAATGTTTAGTATGACATCCTTTATTTCAGAGATATTAGGCCAAGATAATATGAAAATTGTTTAGTGTGACATCCTTTATTTTAGAGGATTAGGCCAAGATACAATGAACATTGTTTAGTGGGTCATCCTTTATTTCAGAGATATTAGGCCAAGATAATATGAACATTGTTTAGTGTGACATCCTTTATTTCAGAGGATTAGGCCAAGATACAATGAACATTGTTTAGTGGGTCATCCTTTATTTCAGAGGATTAGGCCAAGATAATATGAACATTGTTTAGTGTGACATCCTTTATTTCAGAGGATTAGGCCAAGATACAATGAACATTGTTTAGTGGGTCATCCTTTATTTCAGAGGATTAGGCCAAGAAAATATGACCACTAAAGTATTCAGTTCAGTATGGATTGAAAAAGAGAAATACCAAATTACAACTTTTGTGTACAGCTGCTGGTCATAGAACATATTACATTATCATCTCCTCTTTTTGATATCAGATATTTAATAAGTTATGTCTAATTTGTTATTTCCCTTTCAGGTGTGATGCTTTGGCAAGCTTTAAAAAGACAAAACATATATTCCCAAACTTTGTGTGACCTTACATAAATCTTCAATACTGGAAAGATGATATAAAATAGTAATATGACTCTGAATTGTGGAAAGAACCTACATGGCTTATTGAAGTTGGCATATGACTCTCCAATACAAGAAAGAAATCTATACATACATATGTATGCTACATATAAGCCTCCTTTCATTAGGAGCACCACCATGAGATATGGTGTAAAGGACGACATTTAGCACACTGTATCAGTACAGATTTATTGTGAGTATTTGCCTACCCAATTCCCCAGCCTGACCGTGACAGGACTTACTTCCAGAAAGTTAACCTTCCTCAAAACATGAATAAATACAATTGCAATAAAACATACAAACACATCCACTCACCTGATTCACTCATCCTCAAAATATAACAAGTAGAAAATGAAAGTGCAAAATATATACAAAATAAAAGAATAGGTAACCCAGATGCCTCACGAATGCCATGGCAACTAATGGGAAACCGGTAAGGACATACTTGGATTCCAACCCGATACCGCTAAATGCTAAGCTGTATTCCTGGTAAAGGAAAGCCAAAAATCCTGCTATAAAGGATCTCTGAAAGAAACTACCAATCAATTAGAGGAACAGCTATAACCCTCAGACATCAAAAAGATTGGTCTGATAGTTTCCCACATGGAAACTACTAATTAATCCCATCTGACCCCATGTCTCAAACTAACCTGAAAATATCTGCAGAAAATTTCCTCAACAAAAAAAAATATAATCCAAAACATAAAATATACGATATAAGGATAATAATATTTATCCATGAAACCAATTTAACAAAACAATTTCAATGATGCTGAAGGATTCTCCCTGCAAAAATTTTCACGTCCGCTCTCATTGGTATGCTCGACTGTGTTGTGACATAAGTCTACAACAATGGGAAGATAACTCTGTTTACCTGAGCAGTAGATGTAGCTTGCTCCACACCTCTGGCACATAACTGGTCTATATCGTCTTTAGTAGCTTCTATAAACTCCCTGAAACAAATAAATATTCAATTTGCAGACAAATCTACTAGTTTGCAGCCTTGGCTTTAGTAAATATAAAAATATGAAGATGTGGTATGATTGCCAATGAGACAACTCTCCACAAGAGACCAAAATGGAACAGAAATTAACAACTATAGGTCACTGTACGGCCTTCAACAATGAGTAAAACCCATACCGCATAGTCAGCTATAAAAGGACTTGAAATGACAAATGTAAAACAATTCACACAAGAAAACTAACGGCCTAATTTATGTACAAAATAATGAACGAAAAACAAATATGATATACAGCAACAAATGACAACCACTGAATTACAGGCTCCTGACTTGGGACGGGCACATACAGAATGTGGCGGTGTTAAACATGTTAGCATGCGCCCAACCCTCCCCTCAACTTGGGACAGTGGTGTAACAGTACAACATATGAACAAGAGTGCACACGCTGAAATGTCTCGCCTTCTTTACTAATCATTGATATTATGTTGATAGTCCTAAATATAAAGCTTTATTACAACTGTCACATAAACTTAACATTAACCAAGTAAACTAAACATTGACCAATGAACCATGAAAATGAGGTCAAGGTCAGATGAACCATGCTAGGCAGGCATGTACAGCTAACAATTCTTCCATACAACAAATATAGTTGACCTATTGCTTATAGTTTAAGAAAAACAGACGAAAACACAAAAACTTAACACTGAGCAATGAACCTTGAAAATGAGGTCAAGGTCAAATAAAACCTGCGTGACTGACATATAGATCATAAAATATTTCCATACACCAAATATAGTTGAACTATTGCATATAGTATTAGAAAAAAAGACCAAAACTCAAAAACTTAACTTTGACCACTGAACCATGAAAATGAGGTCAAGGTAAGATGACACCTGCCAGCTAGACATGTACACCTTACAATCATTCCATACACCAAATATAGCTGACCTATTGCATGCAGTATTAGAAAAAAAGACCAAAACCCAAAAACTTAACTTTGACCACTGAACCATGAAAATGAGGTCAAGGTCAGATGACACCTGCCAGCTAGACATGTACACCTTACAATCATTCCATACACCAAATATAGTAGACCTATTGCATACAGTATAAGAAAAACAGACCAAAACACAAAAACTTAACTATAACCACTGAACCATGAAAATGAGGTCAAGGTCAGATGACACCTGCCAGTTGGACATGTACACCTTACAGTCCTTCCATACACCGAATATACTAGACCTATTGCTTATAGTATCTGAGATATGGACTTGACCACGAAAACTTAACCTTGTTCACTGATCCATGAAATGAGGTCGAGGTCAAGTGAAAACTGTCTGACGGGCATGAGGACCTTGCAAGGTACGCACATACCAAATATAGTTATCCTATTACTTATAATAAGAGAGAATTTAACATTACAAAAAATCTGAACTTTTTTTTCAAGTAGTCACTGAACCATGAAAATGAGGTCAAGGACATTGGACATGTGACTGACGGAAACTTCGTAACATGAGGCATCCATATACAAAGTATGAAGCATCCAGGTCTTCCATCTTCTAAAATATAAAGCTTTTAAGAAGTTAGCTAACGCCGCCGCCGCCGCCGGATCGCTATCCCTATGTCGAGCTTTCTGCGACAAAAGTCGCAGGCTCGACAAAAAACTATAAAAATCAGTTGAAAAGGGCTTAACTCGTCAGATTGATATAATGCACAAAAACAAGTAACAAAAGACTGCAATAACATATATTTTAGATTTTTTTTATCACTACATCCAATTTTTATATATACCTTCAATCTCACTGATAACACAAATTTCTTAATTAAATAAATTGAATCCACAAATTTAAAAAGTAAAGTAGCATTGCAAACATTTATGAAATCACCAAAATATGAAAATTTTTTTATCAGATTTGTATTATAAAAGCACATGGTATAAATTCATCAGAACTCTCAGACCACCAGTCTTTATTCTTACTCTTATATGAAGGCTCTCAACTCAATGCGAAACTGCTACATTTGGCTAGATTCATACAGCCTCATTTTCAAAAGATCATTTTATTGGCAAATGGATACAAAACTTCTAAATTTTATCTGGTGTGAACAATTTAAAAAAAATTTAAATCAATGAGTTCATCTATCAATGATATCAGTCTGCAATTATATATACAATATATGTACATTGTCGGAAAATATAAAATTTATTTGTATGAGCTTTAGAAACAGGACAAAAAGCGAGGCTCACCAAGCATTTCTCTTGTTTCGTAGCGAGTACACATAAATTTTATATTTTCCGACAATGTACATAATTATATTGTTTTTATCCTGAAATTTAATTACACTCAACACTTGAAACTTTATTTGTAAAAATCTAAATCATTGTCTATAATTTTTCAAAGAAATCAACATAGTTTAAATGTGGACCGCGAAGAGGACCCCAAAATAAACTGGTACCCAAAAAGAAATATCCACATTACCGCTTGCTCAACATGGAAGCGGGGTAACAGGAGACTTCATTTGTACAAGTACAAATAAAGCAAAAATTTATTTGTGTACCTGTTATTTGTACAATAGTTAGCTGATTGCAGGATAAAATTTATAATTTAGTGAATGATAGGGTTAGGAAAAAAAATAATAGAAGCAATTAGCACTCAGTCATCCTGTTATTAACAAACAACAGCTATATATGTAATTAACATTCAAAATTTAGAACCCCACATTACAAAACTATGTAATGTTATTTGCATATCTGCCTGAGGTAATATGTCACACTGACTGATATATAATGCTCTCTTGATGAACTATTTGTATTCTAAATTAATGTGTAATGTAAATTATAGCTTTTTGAAATATAAAGTGTTCGGATTCTGTTTTCAAGTTGAAACAAAATGTGAAATAATACAAGAGGCTAATAACAGGATACTCATACAAATTGTTGATTAAATTAAAAAAAAAGGGCAGCTGATCCTTTTTGCAATTCAAAGTTCCTCTTCATCTATCACAGTTTTAAAGATAATAAGCCAAAACACAAAAAAATTGTAAGGGTTCCGCGGAACCCCTGTGTCTCGCCTACTTTTGCTGTTGTCTATGTTTTCAGTGTGATAGGGGAATGCACATAATAGATTTACAGTTAATGAAATGTATGAAAAAAAGTTATGCTTGTAAAAAATGAATACAGTATGCAATCAAATCTATAGATTGTCTGAAAGACAAAAGTCGCAGGCTCAACAAAAATGGGTGAAAAATTATTAAAAATTTTCCTCTAGATACTATCTTTTGATTGTAAGAAGCTTTTGTCCAAGTTTGGTAAAAATCCAGGATGGTTTATGAATCTAATAAATGTTTTAAAAACTTTAACTGCAGACTGTATGTAATGTTAACTGGAAGAAAAACTAAGTCCCTGTATGAGTAATATACGGAATAACAGGAAATAAATTTTTACAAAATTTCGTTCTAGATACTAGCTTTTGATCATAAATAAGCTTCTGCCCAAGTTTGGTACAAATCCAGGATAGTTTAAGAAAGTTATTAAAATTTTAAAAACTTTAACCACAGAGTGAATGTAATGTTAACTGGCAGAAAAACTAAGTCCATTTATAAGTAAAATATGGATAAACAGGATTTTTTTTTTTACAAAATTTACTTTTGAATATTATCTTATGATCATAAACAAGCTTCTGTCCAAGTTTGGTAGAAATCCAGGATAGTTTAAGAAAGTTATTAAAATTTCAAAAACTTTATCCACAGAGTGAATATTTGTGGACGCCGCCGACGCCGACAGAATGTAGGATCGCTATGTCTGGCTTTTTCGACAAAAGTCGAAGGCTCGACAAAAATGATCAGCAGGACAACTAGACCTAATCACAAACTAATACATTGTTGATTTTCAATATTTATAGCGGTTTTCAAGATAATAGAGAAAAAATTGAATTTGAACCCCTATGTTTTACATGTTATATTTTGGCCATGTAGATGATGTCCAACAAGAATGGGAGATTCTGGTTACATAACTGATTGTGGTCACTGATAAAATTCCTGTCAAATATAACACAGGGACAAGAACAAGGGTGTTTGATTTTCACTGATACTATTTTAATCATGTAGTTCGATCACCCTATTAACCTTAAACCTTGATAAACCATTTAACATGTTTAACTTTCTTGTAGGTATAATTACAGAGGTCAACCAAATATGACCTCAAGATAAATATCTCTAAATGGGTAAACAACTAAATAAATGAATGATCAAAGTGAAGAAGGATCATTTAGCTTTATATAGATCAGTGGCAGATTTGGAGTGTGGCACCCCTTTATGGAGCTACATATACTTTTTTACATGCCCCACTCCTAAAGTTTTCACTCTCCATATTCAGAATATGAATCTCCATTTCCATAATGCCAAAATTTATACCACCTCAGTGGATTCATATCAGTGTGCATGCCTAGTGTGTGGAGATTCAATTGTAAATTCAGTTCCAAGCTTTTTCTCAAAATTCAATCTTTTAAAAGATTTTCACAATTTATTGTATGGAGTTTATATGGTGAAAAACATTTCATTTGATCTGTAAAGAATGTAGCTTATAGAAGTAATTATAGCAAGGACCTAGTTGGGTCAGAGACAGAACTATGTGTGCTCGTTTAGTGACATGCCTTTCTTCAAAATGTTCACTCGCAAGCTTGCTTGATAAAAATTTGGCTCTGCTAATGTACAAATCAGAATCCATTGATATTCATATCTTAATAACATATTCTTGATCTGCATCAAGGGTTGAAGGATTGCCGCCGTAAGAATGTTAATCATTAAATATCTTTCTAACTGTTTTATCAATTTTCTTGACTTTTGTAAGAATAAGTTGGTGGGAAAAGCACAAAATCTACACGAGCTAACAAAAACTAATCAAAAGAAATGTTCACAACAAATTTTGATTTTATTATTTTTTTTCCATCAAAATAAGGGGAGGTAATCTAGAAAATATGATTTATAAAAAAAAAACCAGTAATCTACCATCACAATAACCTTGTTTATTGTTTAATAACACTTATTACTAGTAAAATAAATGAAGAATGTATCCATGGGACAAAGATGTCCCCACTTGTAAATATATGACAAATTCAGAAAATTTTTCCATTTACAATTGAACATAACTCTAGAATGGTGAAAGTGACGGCACTCATATTAAAACTTGATCTGTGTTTTGTGGTAATAAGCAGCTGTGTATAAGTTTCATAACATTTGGTTGAGAAAAACTAAAGTTAGAGAATGGAAACTAACTTTGGGACATATGGACGTACAAATGGACAAGGGTGATAATGCCTTCTCTGCAGAGGCGGGGCATAATAAATGTGGTATGATTGCCTATGAACGTGGATGTGTGCAACACGTTTGGTGAATTTTTCCAGTCAAGTTATAATGTAAACTCAATGTAAAAGACATGATTGTTTGTGTCATTGGGTTGCTGCCTCTTTGATGTTTACCCTTTTACTCATGTCAATGATGGATTGAGCTACATGTATTCTCTTTCTTATTAATAGGATAAAATCAACATACATACACTCAAGAGGAAGTTTTCTTACTGTCAGCTAAATCTTTACATATGTGTACTTATGTTCAGGATAAAATTTATATTCAAGTCATTCTTGACATGATAAATATTCAGGAAATTTCCCCATTATTTACAAAGTCCCATTTATCTACTTTTTTTTTCATAGTATGATGAATTATAGCTTTGCACTTTCTTTTCTCAGATTTACACTTTGTGTGCAATAATATGCAGTAAAAGTAGGCAAAAACAATGTCTTTGGGCAAATTATTTATCTCAAACATTCAGAAGATAAATTATGGATTTTGTCCTGTAATTTTTTTAACCTTCATTAATGATGGTGATCTGACAACATTATTTAATCAAAAAGTCTTAACTCAGTTTGTATTTCTATTAAGTTTGATGATAGGTTATAAATATAGAAAGATGTGGTATTTATATATAGATCGCCAATGAGACAACCCTCCATCAGAGACAAAATGACTAGAAGATAAGAACTATAGGTCACCATATGGCCTTCAACAATGATCAAAACCCATACAGCACAGTAAGCTATAAAAGGATGTTGTCAGTTTGTTCTGTACTACTAATAATCATGACTCAAAAGAAATGTGGTTTATTAATTAATGAGACAGTAACTAAACAATACAGTAAAATAATATGTTTAGAGGTCAATGTCTTTAGTGGTAACATTGGCTAGTTTATATATCAATAATGTTCTAAATCCCCTTAGTCATGTTAAGTCTAGACAAGTTACCGATAGTTGTTTAACCAAACATTGGAAATATTTTATGCAAATTCAGGACACTTGACTCTATTATAGACAATTAGTTCATAAATGAATTCAACAAACTCAAGACTCCTGGTGCCTTTTTCTACAGGTTTTTGATCTGTTTCTAAGTAACTTGTATAATACCCGATTCCTTTTTTCACGCTCTCAAACATCAGGGTCGTCCAATTAGGTCGGGGAATCTTTGGCACTTTTGGTGACTTTCTGTAATTGCCTCCAGATCTTGGCCTTGGAGAATGTGGAATTTTATGTTGAGTCTTACTCCTATATGTAGCCCCTAATACAGGGGTTCCTAAGGGAGATTCCATTAGCTGACTAGATCGACTGGCCATTCCAGCAAATGAATGACTTCTGGTAACAAAAATCTGATGATGGTTGGGGTCCACTATGGGTTGTGATGACACTCTGTGGGGTACATTAAGGTTTTCCAAGGGAACATTATGATAAATCTGGGATGGATCCTTACGAGTCATGAAGAGTGGATCTGAAATAAAAAAACAAGTTTAAAATTATGATCATTTTGTAGGAATTTATAAAGTAATCGGTATATAAAAATAAGGAGATGTGGTATGATTTGCCAATGAAACAACTATCCACCAAAATTCAAATGAAGTGGATGTAAGCAAATATAGGCAACCGTACGGCCTTCAACAATGAGAAAAACCCATACTGTATAGGTGGCTATAAAAGGACCAGACATAAAAAAAAATGAAACAGTTCAATTGAGAAAACTAATTGCCTAATTTATAAGCTATGTTTATTTCAAGATTACATGAAAATTGTATATTGCCACAACTGGCCATCTTTGTTTTGATTTTTTTTAAAGAAAAAGTCTGAGGTTTACCTTTATTTTCACTACTAATTCATTGTAATTGGTCATTATTGCTTTAGGTTACTGAATGCCTTATATAGGCATTCATGGTACAGAAATTGTAACAATGACATAATTTAAATTTGATCATCAGAGATTTGTCATAGCAGAATTTTTATTTATTTGGGCTATCAACATTTTTGTATATATACAATGTATTGACTTGGACTAATTCTATAATTTGTGTGTCATAAAATTAGAGAAATTGGTTTATCAATTCACAAGTTCAAGTTGAGTTATGTGTTATTAAATTATTTGGACATTCTCTTAAGCATGAGTATTATCATTTGACAGAATTGAATGAATGAATGGTATAAATTTGTTGTAAATTCAAGAAGAAAGAACAGACTAGGATTATAAGTAAAATAAGTAAAATTTTATTATTACAGTAGAAGTCATATAGAGATTTTATTTCATTCCTATCAAATATTTTTAGATATCTGAGTTCAAACTAAAAAAAAACAACTTACCTTTTTGTCTTTTTGTCTATAAATTACTATTTAAAAACCTTTGAAATATGTGAAATATTTGATCCAGATTATCTGCCTAATTGTTGTTCCTGAATTTGTTTACAAATCAAAGGTTGATACAGGTGTGATGAATTTACCTGATATTTACCTGAGACTTATTATCAATTAAAAATCAATCAACTGACCAGACAATATCAATAAAATTATTCATTGTTTATTACCATAGTATTGTTTGATTTCTGTTTTATCTAACCAATCAAAGTACTTCTATTTATAGGGTTAGTGGGAGGAATTATAAGTCTTTCTAAGAATAGGTCTGGTTACAAATAATATAAAATTCAAGTCTGCTTTTTTGAAATTTTGCATAAAAACACATGATAACCTTTGACGAATTAGCTTATGTAAGTAAAGCCAAAATATTTAAAAAAAAATCAATGTATTTCTCTTTTTTCTTATAAATAGAAAACTTAATTAATTTGATAATTTAGCTTTAGAATAAATGTGACAAAAGGTTGGTTAAAAGTGACCAAAATATTGTTAATCAGTATTGTATTATACCAAAACCATTATTTATAGTAATAAGATATAATTCCTAAATGTTTTATGTTAAGTCTTGAAATTATAGACATTGCAACCAACAAGTGTATACATGTATAAACCTGTTTACTGCTATCACAAGAATAAATACCTACACTTGCAATATGACAGTTCTGTAAATGATACTTTATGAATTTTGTAATTTGAATATCATTTTATATAATAAATGGGGAATGTGTCCATGGGACACAGATGATGCCCACGCTTGCATATCATATAAAGTTATAAAGGGACATAACTGAAGAACGGTAAAAGAGTTGCTACCCAAATTTGTACTTGATCTGAGTTTTGTGGTAATAAGTATTGTGTATAAGTTTCATAACATTTGGTTGAGGCAAACTTAAGTTAGAGAACAGAAACGAAAATTCAGCAATTTTTCCATTTGTAAAGGGGCATAACTCTAGAACAGTAAAAGTGACACCACCAAAATTCAAACTTGATCTGTATTTTGTGGTAATAAGCATTGTGTATAAGTTTCATAACATTTGGTTGAGGCTAACTTAAGTTAGAGAACAGAAACGAAAAATTCAGCAATTTTTCCATTGTCAACGGGCATAACTCTAGAACGGTAGAAGTGACACCACCAAAATTCAAACTTGATCTGTATTTTGTGGTAGTACGCATTGTGTATAAGTTTCATAACAATTGGTTAAGGCAAACTAAAGTTAGAGAACGGAAACGAAAAATTCAGCGATTTTTCCATTTGTAAAGGGCATAAATCTAGAACGGTTAAAATGACGCCACCAAAATTCAAACTTGATCTGTGTTTTGTGGTAATTAGCATTGTGTATAAGTTTCATAAATGTTTGTTGAGGCAAACTTAAGTTAGAGAACAGAAACCAACTTTGGGATGTACTGACGTACAGACGGACAAGGGTAAAACTTAATGCCCGCTCCGCTACAGGGGGGGCATAAAAAAGAAGATGGGGTATGATTGCCAATGAGACAACTCTCCACAAGAGACCAAATGACACAGAAATTAACAACAATAGTATATTAATTGAAATTAAAAGTTATAATCAAGGGTTATTCAAATTTTTTAAGTGTAAACCTAGACTTTCTTCCACAAACTTAACAATATAAACTCCACCTGACTGAAGTGATGAAATAATATTGATCAATATAATACCATACGTCTTAAAGCAAAACTCATTTAATGAATACCCAACATCTGTTTTCCACAAGTGTATAATGCAAATCAAAGTGACCACACTGTTGTCAACTTGACCAATGCCTTTTTCTAAATAATAGATAGTGGTGGTATAATACTATTTAGTTATTTTTTGAGATTTCATAGAAATGAACCTTGAGCAACAATTTCAATCCAAATCGCTCCATCATTAAATCTAGGTCATAGTGATCCAAATGTTGCTGAATTTAGTTTATATATATAAAGGAAGACTAGTGGTGAAATATCCCAGATATATTTAGTACCACCTGTTCAATTGACATAAACTAAAAATCCTAACCAAATCATGTTGTACAGTAAGACAAAGATAAATATTTATGTCTCACTCACACCAAGAATAAAGATTCTACTATAAAAATCCTTGTTCACATTCATGACATAGTTATATAAATTTTGTGCTTCTTTAAAGTTCATGAAATTTAAATTTAAGTGTCCTCTTTAGATATTAATAATATCATCATGACATTATATAATTTTGTTATTATAGGTATTTTAGAAACAGGATTAAATTAAAATGTCAACCAATCTGTACATTTGGTAAATTGATTAATTGGTAAATCTATAGGTGCCTTATATAAATTATATACATTGATAGAAAGGCCAAAAAAATGAACATGTTGTTATTTTTTTTGTATTTGATACAATTGTGTTCTGAATTTCAATATAAACTGACTATCCAATGCTGACAATTCCAAAGTCCACAAATATTAATTATGTTCATCAAGATCTATTAAAATCTATAATGAATGTCCACTATGACCTATGTTATTACCTGTAGGACATTAATAGATAATTAATCAAGGTTATAAACAGGTAAACATCAAAAGATCAGGTGACAAAACACATGTATCCTGTCAAATGTTTGATGGATGAATTAGAAGTCACCCACTGTTCATTAGCTTCAATTTAATGCTGACTCTGTTCATTTAAAATAATAATGGAACAGGATCTGCTAAACTTTCAAGAGCACATGAACTGACTCTGTTCATTTTAAATAATGGTGGAGCAGGATCTGCTAAACCTTCAAGAGCACCTGAGCTGACTCTGTTCATTTTAAATATTAGAAGAGCAGGATCTGCTAACCCTTCAAGAGCACCTGAGCTGACTCTGTTCATTTTAAATGTTAGTAGAGCAGGATCTGTTAACCCTTCCAGAGCACATGAGCTGACTCTGTTCATTTTAAATGTTAGAAGAGCAGGATCTTCTTACCCTTCGAGAGCACCTGAGCTGACTCTCTTTATCTTAAATAATAGCGGCAGGATTTGCTAACCCTTCGAGAGCACATCAGGCTGACTCTGTTCATTTTAAATATTAGAAGAGCAAGATCTGTAAACCCTTCCAGAGCACCTGAGCTGACCTTTGTTTATTTTGAATGTTAGTAGAGCAGGATCTGCTAAATCTTCCAGAGCACCAGTGAGCTGACTCATTTTAAATATTGTCCTGTGAACAGTGACCTCAAATTGCCTCTGATTCCTGCCAAAGACACTTTTGAGATTCAGAAACAGGATCTTTCAAGACTAATGCTTGATTATATTTTTGAGTAAAACCACTAAATTTGTGGAGTTTGACCCAATAAATCAAGAGGTCTGTTCAAGTAAATGAAAGATGATATCTTAATTATAACTCAAACTTCCTCATTCTTTAAGTCTTTAGTGGATAATTGTTTTATTGGCAATCATTCAATATCTCCTTATATATATTAACATACATTCCTTTTGTTTACAAATCTCTTTCCAAAGAAAATTTAGGAAATGGTAGCTGGACAGGTTTGTTTTATAGTGTGTTTTACTTTTACAACATAGGGACTAGATAGGGGAGGTTCTTTACAACATAGGGACTAGATAGGGGAGGTTCTTTACAACATAGGGACTAGATAGGGGAGGTTCTTTACAACATAGGGACTAGATAGGGGAGGTTCTTTACAACATAGGGACTAGATAGGGGAGGTTCTTTACAACATAGGGACTAGATAGGGGAGGTTCTTTACAACATAGGGACTAGATAGGGGAGGTTCTTTACAACATAGGGACTAGATAGGGGAGGTTCTTTACAACATAGGGACTAGATAGGGGAGGTTCATGCACATGTAATACTGGTCCCAAGCCAGGCCATCTGGACCCTACAGCATAGGGTCGGTAGATAGGGAGGTTCATGCACATGTTATACTGGTTCCAAGTCAGGCTATCTGGACCCTACAACATAGGGTCGGTAGATAGGGGAGGTTCATGCAAATGTAATACTGGTTCTAGATAGGGGAGGTTCGTGCACATGTAATACTGGTTCCAAGTCAGCTATCTGGACCCATCTTTGCAGGCCAAGGGTTACGCTCTGGTGTTGAATTGTAACCATTGGCTACCAAAGATGATCTGATCCATGCTTTTTTTATGTTATTTGTACAACTTTTAATTCAACTGTGAAAGTTAAATGCTTTTTCATTTATCTTTTATCTGTCTTTACAAACTGGCATTGTAATCTATGAAACCTGTATGCAATTACTTTAAAAGTTAACTGCAACACTTTCATAGCATCTATATTCACATTTTAGAATACTGATCCCTAAAAGATCACTGTTTCTTATATCATTTTTACCCCCCCCCCCCCCCCCCCACACACATCGATAAACTCCACTCAACTCTCATCAAAGGTTTTTAAATAAATCCTTTCTTAATATATATCTATATAATCATATACCAGGTATATTTTGACATATCTTTCAACTTCATTATACTTTTTTCATTTTTTTTGCTTAACCAGAACATTGACCCCACCCATTTCACCCCACTTATTGATAATTTTGAACATACCTTACAATTCAAATTGTTAAGATGTCTTTCATCTTTGTCAGGTAAATATTTGCTATGAGATTAACATCCGATTGATAACATATATTTTATCCTTTGATCAGAATATAAAAACTTTCCCCTCTAATCTTCAGTTAAATTGTAATAAACACCTTTGCAAAAAACCACCATTTTACAAGTCATTTTTGTATTTAGAAATTAAATGTTGTACAATAACTACATAAAACCATATTGTATTTGTCAAATGACATGGAGGTCGGATGTAGATAGTGACATAACGTTGCTGATGGATTTCATTTCCGTTCAGAAGCAACATTCACAGTTCACAGTCAAAAATCACATTTTTTCCACTTTAATTCATAGATAAATATATATATAGATTATCGAGATCTTAAAATATCCAGAATTATCAACGACATCTCTATATAAATATATTTAGTTCACATAATCAACAAATAGTGAGATATCTATTTCAATCCAACAAAACTTTAGTATTGGAAATATATATCAACACATACTGTGCTTCCATTAGTATAATTATTTCGTGACGATAGTTAAAATTCCACAAAAGAAATGTCAAGAAAGTCACACCATCACTTCACTTTATTGTTTTTAACTTCAGCAGTCAATATTATAAAAATTTCAATTGAATTTGATGCAGGCGAGATGATTGGTCCTGTAGAGTAGTCAAGCAGTTAAATATAGCCTTGAGCTGTACATCTCTCTCTTTAATGAATCTACCATACTAATCAATTGTAGTATAAAATGCATAACATCATCTTGAGTGACCTGATTATTGGGGAGGATTATTGATCATCAGAACTATGCAGCATATTTACTATTTATAGCTCACTGATTGTTTATCTTCAGGATTTTTCAACAACATGGATATATATTATGCATACTGTTTAGTTTATTTACTTATCTGCCAACTTTTAAAAATATCCATGGAGGATTTTACAGACTAGAGGATCTGATGTATCTTTTAAATCAATGTATCTTTTAAACATCTCATAATTGTTATTAATTTTAATGTACTATTTGTTTTAATGATTAAATATGTGCTGAATAGAATAGAGAATGGAAAGGGGAATGTGTCAAAGGTACAACAACCAAACCAAAGAGCAGAAAACAGTCAAAGGCCACCAATGGGTCTTCAAAGCGAGAAAATCTTGCACTTGAATAATGCAAAGTATGAAATGTTTGCCCCATTACTGACAATGCTATTTTGGGCAACTATTTTCTTGAATGGCGTTTTTAATAAACTCCTTTCAATTCCTATTTTGTAAACTATTCTGTTATACAATGGAAAATTTTAAGAGTCAGGTCAACACCTCTCATGGAATAAGCCCCCAATGAATGCAGAAAGTTGGCGAGGAAATACAAAATTTCATCATATAAAAAGGTTCAGCTTTTCTGGGCACCGTTAATTTAATTCATTTAATAATTTGTTGCAATTAATTTGGTCAAAGTTTCATTGCTATTGTTATATATATATTCTATGATTCTTTTAACATTCTTATTCCCTATGGAGGGATTGTGTCATGTTTCAAATTTAAAAAAAAAACAAAACTTTAAACAATAAATACATTATAAATTTAACTATATTTTTGAATTTTCTATTTCAATATATTTTGTTTTCATGAATTGTTTAATTGTTTGTTTCATAAGTAACACACTCACTGACATAATGTTTATCTATTTATCTTGCTGATTCAAAATAAACACATTAAAATTTTTCAAATGAAAATGATGCTAATTATAATACAGATTAATCATCAATATGATAGGATATGTACTGATAAAGGGAGATAACTACAGTTATTTATCAAACATGGCAAGCCCAAACAAAAAATAAATGTTTGCTGACCCAATGTCTAAAATTGTCTTGATTGTTTCTATATTTAATTGAAAACTTCAATATTTGCACATAATAATAGATACTTGGAGAGATTTGGGGAGATACTTGGAGAGATTTGGGGAGGTACTAAAAGCAAGTGACATAAAAGTAATTTGAATATTACAATTTCTTCAAAATTAAAAGAGGATATTAACAAGGAGATTTGTATACTAATAAAGAAAATGAAGGGACATAACTCGAGAACGGTGAAAGTGATGCCACCATAGAATTTGATGGTATTAAGCATCTTGTATAAGTTTCATTACAATTGTTTGAGGCAAACTAAAGTTAGAGAAAGGAAACCAATTTTGTACATACAGATGGACAAGGGTATTAACCTTTAAATGCCCCAGTGGCATAGCGGTGGGTGCAATAAAGGCAGATTGCAGGAAAACTAGGGTAACACATGTATAATAAATGTGGAATGTGTCCATCGGACACAGATGATGCCCCCGCTTGCATATCATATAAAGTTATAAAGGGACATAACTGAAGAATGGTAGAAGTGAAGCTACCCAAATTTGTACTTGATCTGAGTTTTGTGGTACATGTAATAAGCATTGTGTATAAGTTTCATAACATTTGGTTGAGGCAAACTAAAGTTAGAGGAACAATTTTTATGTTTATAAAAGGGCATAACTCAAGAACCGTTACAGTGACGGCACCCAATTTCAAACTTGATCTGTGTTTTGTGGTAATAAGCATAATGTGTATAAGTTTCATAACATTTGAGGCAAACTAAAGTTAGAGAACGGAAACCAACTTTGGGACATATGGATGGACGTACGGACGTACAGATGGACAAGGGTAAAACTTAATGCCCCCTCCGCTATGGCGGGGGCATAAAAATACTATAAGATCACAAAGCATATATAACTCATTACTGGTTATATGACTACTTGGCAATACAACAGGTGTCATATGTTAAGCAGACCCTTCTACAGTGGTCAATCCAGGATTTTAAAGGGGGGATGTATTTTTAATTTCAAAGTGTTCTAAAAAACTTAATGACCAAAATAAAGAAATAATCTACAGTTACTTTATATATGTCACTGTAAGTGTAGAATAAGCAGACTATAAGAATGCATGTAATCATTAAAACAATACACCAATTAATCAGAGGACAGTTTATTTACATCCTGCTTACAGTATCACATCACAGAGAGACCATGTGAACCAACACATGATATAATAACTATTAGTCACTTTTCTGTAGAAGTGTTTACCTCATCATGGTATATAAATAAAAAAACTTTATAAAACCTCAACACTTCCTAGTAAGTAGAGTAAAAAGATAAAATCTGAATTGATATTTTCACCCACATTATGTTATATTATGTTATCAGTACAGATTTGTGGATTTCAATTTTAAAGCACATAGCATTTTTGTATACTTTAGGGGGTTGGCTTAATTTTTATATTGTGTAAACTATTTTTCAAGGAATATTATGTAAGCAAACATAAATTTTTTCAATACCAGTAGTTTATCATATATTTGTATTAAGATTTTAATTAAATTATGTTAACAAAACATGTTCTTTTATAACCTGGGGTAGAAATGTTTTCGCTATTTGGGATAAGAAATTTTATTTCAATATACATGTACTTATTTATTTCAGGTGGCACACTATACATAGCCTAAGGACTCGCAGCCTATTGTTGTGGCATGCTTAAACCAAAGCCTAGGTGACGCAATCTGCAATTGCAGTACACTAATCATAGCCCTATGACTAAGCAGTCTATTGTTATGGTCTATACTATGACATGATAACCATAGCCTGGGACTATAGATCTATTGTTATCCGGGTTAATCTTGCTTTGATTTGTAATACCTACAGAAACTTTATATCTATAGTTTCATTTTTCTATAATAAAACATGAAGTATGAACTCCTTTAACAAATATTGACTTGTGATAAATATTTTATCATCTCCTGCAGCATATCAATCATATCACAATTGTCCCACATAGTTAACATACTGATGTCAATCAATAAAGGGATGATATATAGGTAGCGGATTCTCGTAGGACAAGTCTAACCAAAGCATCAGGAATAATCCAACAATTACAAAGAGTTTAAAGATGGCATTAAGTAAATTATGTACTTTCCCAAATTACTGTATGATCTCAATTCAAACCCCCCCCCCCCCCTCCCCCACAAAAAAAAAAGAAAAAATCTATATGTGTCGGAACAACAGGAATGGCCCGGCTTGCAAAAAAAGCTTGAAGCCATTTTTAGGAGTGGAAATTTGAGAATGAAAGTCCAAATAACTGTTATTTCACATAATTTTCAAAGTCCAAAGGCTGTAATTTCGGCACAAATCAGCGGAACAGAACCAAACGTAAATTAAATCTGTAACTCTTCATAGAAGACTTGCATACTAAAAATCAGCTCAATATGTGTAGAAAAAAATTCTGTATAACTGTTATTTTCACATAATTTTCAAAATCAAAAGTCCGTAATTTTGGCAAAATTCAGCGAAGCGGAACCAAATGTAAACTCCATTTGTAACTCATCATAGTAGACTTGCATACTAAAAATCAGCTCAATATGTGAAGGCGTTTAAAAAAAAGTCTGTATAACTGTTTATTGCAGAATGACGGAATAACAGATAGGGGTAAAACTATATGTCCCGACCACTTTGTAGTGGGGCCTTAAAAACATTGCTGCCTATTAAATATATCATCTAAATGAAATAAGTTCATAGGTCAGGAAACTTGATATTGTCTTGCCTGATTCTTACAGATTCAAACATTTCATTTTCATTTTGCCTGTCACCATTAATTCATATCTTGTTTTTTATCTGGTGAGATAATTTTTATACATATTTTTACAAATGTATCTTGCCTTAAAAAAGATTATCTGAAACTATCAATCCAACAATATTTCCCTTTCGTTATAGCTCACTATAATATTAATTATAAAAATTAGTAATATTTTCATTATCTAAAAGGTCATACATCTTTTTTCATAATAACTGAGTTTCCAATAATGACCCTGATTTTGTATGAAATGTCTTTTTCCTTCTATATTTATTTCTACCCCTTACCTGATCATGTCTTTCCAGATATTAAATTGAAAATGTAAAACAAAAGGTTAAGTTACTAAATCCTGGAAAAAGATGATACACTATAGACAATATTTCCGTTATTTATAACCTGATCACAAAAGTTCAAGTAGTTCATGGATGACACTTGATAAAGTATGTACAATTTTAAGAATTTAATAGATATCACATACATGTACATGTAGAATAAAATAAGACTATCACATTTTTAGAAGAATAATTTGGGTAAAAAATGTCTAAAGATGACTTTTTTTAATCTATTTTTTCAATCTTTTATATACTTTCTAAAAAATTGTAAAAAAATCTTTTATAATTCTTTTACTATATACGTTTTAGATGAATTGTTATCTAATTTTCATGTTTTTTCACATTTCTCAACCGCTGTGAGAAAAATATTTCTCATCTCTAGAGAAAACTTTGTTCTCAGCAAATGATTGGTCGAAATTCAATTATGGCATCAAATTTTCTTGATTTCTACTGAATGTCATGAAAAAAGGCTACCATGCCTGATGACGTCACATATAAAGAACACAACTTTCTGCAAATCTTTGAAATGGAAGATCATAAACTTTGTTTGGATATCGTCTAAAAATCATAAGAGAATTAGATTCCACCATTATATCTCGTGTATTATGATATTTCTCCTCTCTCAACAGTTAAATTTTAAATATTCAAAAAGCTCTTCAATCCTCCCTTTTTAAATTTTAAAGTTAACTGTCATGAGTGGAGAAATATCATTACACACATGATGCAGTGGTGGAATCTATATATAACTGATTTTCAGGGGGAGTAAGATTTAAATACTTTTTTAATACAAATCTCATTCATTTAAAAAAGAGAGGTGAAAAATACCGAGAGGTGAAAAATACCAAAATGACATTCAAACTCATAATTAGAACCAACTGAATACGCCAAAACAAA